AAGGTGGGCAGAAGAGCATCTCTGAACGCACAGTACGTCGAACCTTGAGGCAGATGGGCTACAGCAGCAGAAGACCACACCGGGTGCCACTCCTTTCAGCTAAGAACAGGAAACTGAGGCTACAATTTGCACAAGCTCATTGAAATTGGACAATAGAAGATTGGAAAAACGTTGCCTGGTCTGATGAGTCTCGATTTCTGCTGCAACATTCGGATGGTAGGGTCAGAATTTGGCGTCTACAACATGAAAGCATGGATCCATCCTGCCTTGTATCAACGGTTCAGACTGGTGATGGTGGTGTCATGGTGTGTATTTTCTTGGCACTCTTTGGGCCCCTTGGTACCAATTGAGCATCGTTGCAACGCCACAGCCTACCTGAGTATTTTTGCTGACCATGTCCATCCCTTTATGACCACAATGTACCCAACTTCTGATGGCTACTTTCAGCAGGATAATGCGCCATGTCATAAAGCTGGAATCATCTCAGACTGGTTTCTTGAACATGACAATGAGTTCACTGTACTCAAATGGCCTCCACAGTCACCAGATCTCAATCCAATAGAGCATCTTTGGGATGTGGTGGAACGGGAGATTTGCATCATGGATGTGCAGCCGACAAATATGCGGCAACTGTGTGATGCCATCATGTCAATATGGACCAAACTCCCTGAGGAATGCTTCCAGCACCTTGTTGAATCTACAGGTGCTGGTCATAAAATTAGAATATCATGAAAAAGTAGATTGATTTCAGTAATTCCATTTAAAAAGTGAAACTTGTATATTATATTCATACATTACATACAAACTCATATATTTCAGATGTTTATTTTGTTTAATTTTGATGATTACAAATGACAACAAATGAAAATTTAAAATTCATCATATCAGAAAATTAGAATATTGTGAAAAGGTTCAAAATTGATGGCCCCTGGTGCCACACTCTAATCAGCTAATTAACTCAAACCACCTGCAAAAGCCTTTAAATGGTCTTTCAGTCTAGTTCTATAGGCTACACAATCATGGGGAAGACTGCTGACTTGACAGTTGTCCAAAAGACGACCATCGACACCTTGCACAAGGAGGGCAAGACACAAAAGGTCATCGCTAAAGAGGCTGGCTGTTCACAGAGCTCAGTGTCCAAGCACATTAATAGAGAGGCGAAGGGAAGGAAAAGATGTGGTCGAAAAAAGTGTACAAGCAAGAGAGATAACCGCACCCTGGAGAGGATTGTGAAACAAAACCCCTTCAAAAATGTGGGGGAGATTCACAAAGAGTGGACTGCAGCTGGAGTGAGTGCTTCAAGAACCACCACACACAGACGTATGAAAGACATGGGTTTCTGCTGTCGCATTCCTTGTGTCAAGCCACTCTTGAACCACAGACAGCGTCAGAAGCGTCTTGCCTGGGCTAAAGAGAAACAGGACTGGACTGCTGGTGAGTGGTCCAAAGTCATGTTCTCTGATGAAAGTAAATTTTGCATTTCCTTTGGAAATCAAGGTCCCAGAGTCTGGAGGAAAAGAAGAGAGGCACTTCATCCACGTTGCTTGAAGTCCAGTGTAAAGTTTCCACAGTCAGTGATGGTTTGGGGTGCCATGTCATCTGCTGGTGTTGGTCCATTGTGTTTTCTGAGGTCCAGGGTCAACGCAGCCACATACCAGGAAGTTTTAGAGCACTTCATGCTTCCTGCAGCTGACCAACTTTTTGGAGATGCAGATTTCATTTTCCAACAGGACTTGGCACCTGCACACAGTGCCAAAGCTACCAGTACCTGGTTGAAGGACCATGGTATCCCTGTTCTTAATTGGCCAGCAAACTCTCCTGACCTTAACCCCATAGAAAATCTATGGGGTATTGTGAAGAAGAAGATGTAATACACCAGACCCAACAATTCAGAAGAGCTAAAAGCCACTATTAGAGCAACCTGGGCTATCATAACACCTGAGCAGTGCCACAGACTGATCGACTCCATGCCACGCCGCATTGCTGCAGTAATACAGGCCAAAGGAGGCCCAACAAAATACTGAGTGCTGTACATGCTCATACTTTTCATGTTCATACTTTTCAGTTGGCCAACATTTCTATAAATCCTTTGTTTTTATTGGTCTTCAGTAATATTCTAATTTTCTGATATGATGAATTTGAGATTTTCATTTGTTGTCATTTGTAATCATCAAAATTAAACAAAATAAACATCTGAAATATATGAGTTTGTATGTAATGTATGAATATAATATACAAGTTTCACTTTTTAAATGGAATTACTGAAATCAATCTACTTTTTCATGATATTCTAATTTTATGACCAGCACCTGTATGTCACGAAGAATTGAGGCAGTTCTGAAGGCAAAAGGGTGTCCAACCCGTTACTAGCATGGGGTACCTAATAAAGTGGCCGGTGAGTGTATATGGTGAGTGTGTGTTCTCATTTTTGTTAAGAGGCTGAAAAGTAACTTTCTAGAGCATAGACTCCATCTAGTGATGTCGGTCTATTGATTTTGATGTATTGATTGAAAATTGTTCATTATTACCTTGGTTAATTGACGTCTAATGTTAACTCTACTACATTTTATAGCAGTAGGGTAAAATGCTTGTCTTTGTTCAAAAGACTGTATTAACTGTAAAGACTGTCTTTTACATCAGCCTGTTTTCAGGGCCTTTTTTTTGGCTACATATTTGTTATTTTTTGCTACATGCCTCCCTATCTTCCTGCCATATGTTTCTATGGCATAAATCAGTGTCTGTGACCTGTTTTCATTTAAAAAAAATAACATTAGCACAAACATAGCCTGTATGTATTTTTTGTATGTCATCGAGAGTATTTAAATGATTTTCAATCAGAAAAAAAATGTGTGATTAAAATGCGATTAATCGCGAGTTAACTTAGGCATTGATAGGATTAAAAAAATTTAATCGATTGACGGCACTAATATATATGCATTAAGACTGATATGAACCATTCTTTCTTTTTTCTTTTAGTATATCTGTTTTGCTCTGTTAAATTAAACTGAGTCAATATAAGTAACCAAAGTTTGTGGGTTTGAAGGGATTTGAGTAGTTTTATTGAATCAAAGAAGCATTGGTATGGTCATTTTTGATTTCCTTAAAAAATATGATTTTAGATATTGACATTGGTCAAAACTGACATATCGGTACATCGTTAGGCTTATTTGCTGACTGTTTTTCTTCCAAAATATGGTCAGCTTTAACCTATCAGTGCGATTGTATAAAAAGAAACACCAAAAAACCTGAAAAGGAATTGATGTGAGTCAGAAGCTGAAATGTTTAAGAAAGGTGGGATATTGGGTATATTGGCTCACTTACCTTTAAAAAGGAAGGACTTACGGTTTGGGCTGTGGTGTGAATGTTTGGGGTAAATTCAGTGAACTACTCATTCTATTTCTGGGATGAATATCAAGTAAACATGAAAAAACAGACAAAGAAATATAACAGAACTCCACAAAACAACAGAAACACTATAGAAAAAGAAATACAAACCAAAGTATTGAAACAATTTGATAAAATGGAAAAAATACACACAAAAAGCATGTATCTAAAAAAAAGAAAAAAAAAAAAACTGCCAGAGAAAACTCTTTATTTTGTGCTAATTATCAATTTTGCATTTTATATTGTTTTATGTTTTTCTGCTATGATATTTGGTTTAGTTCATGCAATCATGTGGAAATAAAAAGACAGGAACAAATGTTAAGGTTTCATTTGCTTCAGTCAGATGTTAGGTATTTAATGGGAAGAAATCAGCAGCTTCAGGTGTTAAATGGTGGGACAGGTTCAGTTAAATCCATGTGGATGAAGTTAGGAGGCTTTACTGAAAACACAGCATCTTCAAACAACAATCATCACACACATCATCAGAGAGGTTCTCACTAAAGTCCATCCGGCTCTGTGTTGAAATTGAAAACCGACGAGTAACATAAACCTGGAGCAGAGATCGCTCCATCTAACGCTGAGCAGTAAGAAACCTGCATTTTGTCAGCAGTGCATCAAAGATGAAAAACACCTCGAAAATTGGATCAGATCAGTGTTGGTGCAAAAGTCAGGCGATTACAGTGCAACGGTCTCTTCCTTCCTCTCCAAGAACAAATCTTGACATAAAAAAGGAAGAATAAAATACAATTTACTTGTTTTTGATGCTCCTCATTTTTAGAGACAGACACATACGACAAGCATACAACATTTCACCCCCCCCCCCCCCACCCCCCCCTCAAAAAAGTCCTAAAACTGTTTCAAAAATCACATTTTCCTCAAAAATGTGCCGTGGGTCTGGGTACATATTCAACCACTCAGAACCAAACAAGGGGAAAACTTCAAGGTGAAACAACTGGCAGTGGAACATTTGGCTTCAAATTAATAAATATATATATAAAAAAAATTCAGACTTGTGGAGGGAATATTTTAAATCAGGCTGAAACCTTGTTTGCTGCTTCTAATTACATTAATGTGATATCACTGCTCTCTAATTATACTTCCTTTTGTCTCATTACAGCATCAAACATTTATGCATTTTCTGGGCAATATATGTGACAGACCAACACAAAGTGCAAAGAAAGTCAATCATGTTTGATAAAAAGAGGAAAGAAACACTTTGAAAAAAAAAACATAATTTCTTTCCATTTTATAATAATGCGTGCCTTTGTGTTGGTCTATCTCGTATAAATCCAGTTAAATCCATCAGAGTCTGTGGTAGTAATTTCACAAAATGTCATGAAGTTCAGTATTTTTGCAAGGCATTAATTGTTGGATGTTTTTAGGGCTGCCAGAGGTTCTTCCTGATGTGCCAGGTTGGAAGGGGACTTGCTTCATTAGTGTTTTCCTGAGTTGTAAATACAAAATAAAAGTACAAGAGCTCTAAAAAGAATCCCAATGTTTCAGTTTTTTGGAGCTCCATTCATGTGGAACGGTTCAGATCTTCCTGAGAGCAGAACCTGCACAGGAAGAAGAACAGTGACATCCAAACTGTGTTAGTGCAGACAGAAAGTCAGAGCCTTTGGTTCTGTTCAGTTGGACTCGTTCCGTTTTGCGTCTTTATAGACAAGGCTGAAATCAGTGAGTTTTTTTTCTCTATCCTGTTCATGTAGTGTGGCTAAAAAAAGCATAAAGGGAAAAGTTCTTCACTTCAAGCAGCTGCTTCTTACATTTCCTGCCTTTCCTTTCATCCGTCAGCAGGAGAAGAGGGAACCTGCAGGATCGCTTCTGTTTAATCGCCCCTCCCATCCCTCAAATCCACCTTTTATTTGGAGTGATTTTTAGTTTGGTTCATTTTAGTGCATATCTGCTCAGTTTGCTTCTGCAGCTCTGAGGCACCAGCTGTTTCTCTGAGTGTCCGTCTGCTCAGACTATTCTCCACTGCAGGACGCTCATATCCTTCCCGCCGGTCGACACCAAGTAGCTGTCGTCATAAAGGAAGTTCACATTTGTTACATGGCTGCTGTGGCCACGGTAAACATGGCTCGGAGCCTGGAAAGAAAAAAAAAACAAATTTCTTCAAATATTTCTGAATAAAACAGATGGTAATGCTCATATTGGAACCCAGTGGTGGTTATTGCATAAATGTAGCCGTAGGCAAGCCCCCCCTTCTGCTCCCTCATATCCATAAATACCTAAACCAACCCCCTCTTCCTCCTATGTACATCATTCTGAAAAGCGAACAAATCAATTTAATTATGTGATCTATTCAGACTTTTTTAAGCCACTTATTTTTTTTTGATAATTTTCTAACTAATAATGTTCTCATGTGGGCCAGATTTCTTGGACAATAATTTACTATCCCTTTAATTGAGCATAAGAGGGAAGCTATAGATTAGACATCAACTTCAAAGTCATAAACCTGGTAAGCAGAGATGGCAAAAGTACTCACTTTCCGTACTTGAGTAAAAGTACAGATACTTGTGTTAAAAAATACTCTGGAAAAAGTGGAAGTACTGATTAAACTTCTTTACTCAAGTAAAAGTAACAAAGTACAGGCTTGTAAATTTACTTAAAGTATAAAAGTAAAAGTAGAAACCACTTTTTTCATGCCGTTGCCTACATTTTAAATGGATGTCTGCCAATAGGACTAGATCTCCGTTGTGTTCATTTTCAATCATCTCGTCGTCCATACTACTATGCTAACGTCACCGCCACCAAGCTGCAATGATTTGCCGCCAATGAATACCGCCGAATCTGTCGATTCATCTTGTAGTGGTGTGTCAAATGCAACGTAGATTCCCATCCAATTAGATTGAATTTGGTATTGATGACATGAAAAATAATAACGGTAACTCCATTGAAATGATTCAAAACTAAAGTAACGAGCCAATTTTTTAAAATGTAAGGAGTAGAAAGTACAGATATTTGTGTAAAAATGTAAGGAGTAGAAGTAAAAAGTCGCCATAAAAATTAGTAGTAAAGTAAAGTAAAAATATCAGAAAAATCTACTTGAGTACAGTAAAGAAGTATTTGTACTTCGTTACTTCCCATCTCTGCTGGTAAGGCACATAAGTAGTTTTTTTACAAATTGTATAAAAAATGCTGTACAAACTTGGGTGCTGTCTTGTTTGAGGTGCATATTTACGCATTTATACATTTATATTTACTGCTATACCACCCCAGGCAAAGAGCCATATCCTCCATGTCAAAAACCACCACTGTTCAAAGTACGTTAGCATCATACCCTGAACTGCGAACAGGGGTATGAGAAAAGATGGACCTTCCCGAAATCATCTCCAGTTACCAGGAGGCTCATGTCATTGGACCTGCATGCCGCGTTGATATCGGTGCCATCTGAGCCGTCAGGCCACAGCCCTGAGAAGAACAGAGCAGCAAAAACCTCTCAGAGCTTCAACCTAAACATGCACTCACTGGCCCACTTCATCAGCCAGTAATATGGCAGGAACTCAAGCATTTAGGAACCTAAATTGACTTGAAGATCAAACCAGGCATCAGAAGGAAACTGAAAGGAGAGTGAAGTAATTTTTAATGAACCTGCTCTAAGATTTTTTATCTACGTTTCATGCACTGCTGGGCTGAATGGGCCGAAAAAGATGTAACACCTGGCAGGCATCAGGTGTGTGAATGAAAATGACTTATGAATGTCAGCATTTAGAGAGGAATGGATTGATTGCTTAAAGGGGAACACCGTTTTTTTTTTACATTGGGCCCTTGATTTTACATTGTTACATCATGTTCTACTCACCCATATTACTTTTGTGAAATTTGGAGCTGTTCTGAAGATATTTGGTTAGGTTATATCCAAGTCTTCCTATGGGCGAACGACTTGAAGGCACAAACTGAACTGTTAATAATTTATCATTTATGGTACGCCAGCATTCATAACATGTAGGTGAATCACTGTCCCCCAGACATCCGCGGTTATATATTTTTATATCTATATGTTTTAAAAACAAAGCAGAGTGTGTATGACGTCATCCACGCGCGCTGGCTACCGTTCATTCTTCCTGTCCGCTGAACTGCTGCTAGTTTTACTCACATGTCTGGAAGATGTCTAGTGCTGCTACCACAGATGATCTCACTCTCCAAATGGAATTGAAAGATTCAGATTAGCTAGTCGAATGAATAGAAGGGGTAGAGCGTAGCTGCCTGTGGCCCAGCTTGGCTGTCACTACGCGCCGCTTTGTTTAAAAAAATATATAAATATACAAAATATAACCACGGATGTCCAGGGGACAGTGATTTGCCTACATGTTATGAATGCTGGCGTACCATAAATGATAAATGATGAACAGTTTAGTTTGTGCCTTCAAGTCGTTTGCCCATAGGAAGACGTTACTTGGATATAACCTAACCGAATATCTTCAGAACGTCTCCAAATGACACAAAACTCACATGGGTGAGTAGAACATGATGTAATAATGTAAAATCATTATTATTCATGTCTGAAAACACAGTTCCACCAGCTTATAGGCTGATGAGCTGCACCAGCAGAAAACCCCCAGTCTACTGGCTTAGAAAGCATCTTCAGTTAATAATACAGGCTCACTTTAAATTCAATAAAAAAAAATGACTTAAAAAGCATCTTCAGCTTTGATGCCAGACCTTGGTGTAAACATAAAATAAAATACAAAAAAATAACAAAGAGACAAAAGGATTCCTCAATCCTGTCTTTTATCAATGATCTATCCTTGTACTACAGGTATAACGGTGGTTCCCATCATGACCCCACTATAGAACAAGACAAAGAGTCCTCTGGACCCCAGTAGCCTCCACAGTCTCTAGATCTCAATGCAGTGGAAAAGGAAATCAAGTGAGGGATGCCATCTTGCCAATATGGACCCAGATCTCAGAAAAATGATCCAGTCATCTTTTCCCATCAATATTAGAGAAGCATTGATCCAGTTTTTTCCATTCCAATCCGATACCTGGGCTGAGCTTATCAGTCGATATTCGATTCAACTGGCTTTAGCATTGGCATAAACATTGTTTAAAAAATGTACCAAATTAACAGATATAAATGTAACTTTATATTAATTATAAACAAATAAATAGCAAAACATTTCCATGTAACATGCACTTTCATCTCCGATATAAAATCATTGATATGATCCAGCTATTTAGTCAATATCAGAGCTGATATCTGCTCCAGGGTTCAGATCGGTGCAACTCTAATCATTATTATGGAGACTTAAGGCATTGCTCAATTTCAGTTTGTAACTAATAAAGTGGTTGGTGAATGTAAATGGATGTAGAGAGAGATGAGGAGGCAGCGTCTTACCAAACACCTGAAAGCCCAGAGTGCAAGTGTGAGTGAACCATTCGATGTCTCTAGTGGTTTCCACGCTGACGACCTGTTTACACACTGATGGGATCCCTGTGGAGCAAAATAACAGAGGACAGAAAATATGTTACAGCAAGACCAGGCATGGAAACTCTGTAACAACAGAGCAATTCTATAAATATCTCAGTTTGAAAATGGAAAGTATTATTCTTACTATTTCCTGATAAACAACTGCTTGTTTAATAGCAGAGATGAACTCTGATCGACCCCTTACAGCTCCTTGATAACAGCAGTAAAAGCCTTCATTGTACCGGTTTGGACCAAAGCTCTGAGGAATGCTAGAATTAATCCCACCTACTGCTTTAACTGGCAGGATTATTAAATCAGCATAAAGTCCACAATCATTGAAAACAAACCTCACTAAATTCAGACTGTGACACAATAAATTTTTCAGTTGCTGCAACTTTCAGCTTAATACCAAATAAAGCAGAAAGTCTTAAGCTCTTATACTGGAATATTAGTGATGGTTTTAAAAATCAGGTCAGGGGTCATATCTGAGGTGACCTTTCAGCATAGTGTGGCTCAACGGTTATACTTACAGTAGAGAATCTCATAGTCGCCTGAATTTGAGACCAGGTACTGGGAGTCCACAGACCAATCCAAATGGGTGATGAAACTGGAGTGACCCTGGATTGAAATACAAAAGAAATGTCAGAGAAACTTCATATAATTCTGGTCTCAGATGTTCAGTCCAGTAAAAATGTGTTTATCTAAAAACTCAGAGTCAGTGAGAGCAGAAGATGTGGGAGGAGGTGTGATGAGGAGGGGGCTCACCGAGCACTTTCCAACCCGACTGTACTTCCTCCCATTTTCTGCCACAGCGTAAATGTAAATATAGTTGTCGTGGGAACCAATAGCCATGAAGTTACCATCTAAGGAAAAACCATGTTCAGGATGTTAAATTATGGACTGGATATGAAAGAAAGTTGTATTGAAATATCAGCCTATACTAGCTGACTGATTATGAGATTTTAAACCTGTGATGCTAATTAGTGAAACACCTTTATTTAGCATGTCCCTTTGGTCACATCACTTTCAGTATTTTCATCAATTTATTCAGGAAGAGGGGTTGAAAAGCAATGTTTTGCTTTTATATGCTCATTTTCATGGAGTTTTTATTTATCATTATTTTTGTCAGAGTCAAGTTATTTATGTGACCATTATGGGTTTTTCTTTAACATAACGAGGGATACCCTCGATGTTGTCCACCTGTGTACAAGTTCTTCAAACTACTAACAGGACCTTCCAGAGAAACAACCCACCAGGCCCGTAGCGCATCACTGACAGCTGCTCATTCCCGTCTGTGTGAACCGTAACCAAATCCTTGGAATCTGTATCCAGCACCAGCCACCTGCAAGATCAGAGACACTCTGAGGTTTCCTATCGCTGTCACTATGAAATTATCTTTTTGAACCAAATCATGCAGGAATCTTATAATTCAGCAATTCAAATGTACCTGCCAGTTTGGGTTCCTACTGCAACCACAGCTCCTGATGGGTGGAAACCTGCTGACTGGGCTGTATCCTGTAAAAATGGTAAACAAAAAAAGGAAATTAAGAATTCCTTTGTCTAATATTGTAATTTCACTGGCAAACCAAGCAGTTTAGCACAATGGAGAAATGTATCCCTGCATATATATATATATATATATATATATATATACACTCATGGTTTCATGTTTGTGGGAAAAAAATAAACCTGCAGACTAAAGTTCAAAGTTCTTGTGAACAATAACCATAAAGAAGAATAAAAAGGTTCCTGATTAAAAACAAAATCTTGAATCAACATAAGATCATAAGATATGGAAATTAATATTCATTCTCCAAGCATATTTCTGCAGAATGTGCTGGTAAACTTTTCTTCCTTTTTTATTGTTAATATAGTTCTATGATGTGTAGTTACCACAAACGACCCCAGAGGGCAGTGTTGGCTAAACTTACCTCCAGGGTTTTGGTCCAGATGAGCTGGTGAGTGCTGGAGTCCCAGAGACAGACCTGTCTATCATATCCACAGGTCAGAAAGTGAGGCTTGCATGGATGAACAGCCAGACCCCACAGCTCATCCGTGTGACCCTACAGAGGAAATAATTTTTTAACTCAAACATTTATAACAAGTAACTATAGAGCAAAAAGGAAAAAACATCACAAGTCCTATATTGGAAGATAATGATCTCAGCTCATATACCTGAGTAATGGGTATGAATTCTCCTTCCAGGCTGCCCTGTAACACAAAGTTCTTGGTGGTGCCGATGAGCACAGTCTCCCCTCTGCCCTCTGCTATGGTTCTGATGGGGCCAAACAATTCCAGAACCTGCAGAGATAAGAATCACATTAACAAAGTGCTTATTGTGAATTCAATGTTGGCCACTTTCTAGGCGCAGCCAAGGTGTTGAGGGGATCTGTTTTGGTGGCCTTAGGATTGCATCTGTTATTCGCAGTTGATGTGGTTCTATTGGCTTTATCAGGCGTGATCTACAGCGCTCACTGGAGCGGTTCACAGCCGAGTGTGAAGCGACAAGGATGAGGATCAGTGCCTCCAAATCCGATACCATGGTCTTGAGCCAGAAAAGGGTAGAGTGCCTTCTCTGGGTCGGGGATGATGTACTGCCACTAGTTGAGGAGTTTGAGTGTCTTGGGGTATGGTTCACAAATGAGGGGAAGATGGAGCAAGGGATTGATATGCGGATTGGTGCGGCGTTTGCTGTGAAGTGTGCACTGAACCGGTCTGTTGTGGTGAAAAAAAAGCTGAGCCAAAAAGCAAAGCTCTAGATTTACCGGTCGATCTACGTTCCCACCCTGATCTATGGTCATGAGCTTTAGGACTAAAACAAAGAGATCCCGGATACAAGTGGCTGAAATGAATTTTCTCCGTAGTGTGTCTGGGCTCTCCCTCAGAGATAGGGTGAGGAGCTCAGTCATCCGGGGACGACTCAGAGTAGAGCCGCTGCTCCTCCACATCGAGAGGAGCCAGTTTAGGTGGCTTGGGCATCTGATTAGGATGCCTCCTGGACATCTCCCTGGTGAGGTGTTCCAGGCACGTCCCACCGGGAGGAGGCCCAGGGGGAGACCCAGGACACCCTGGAGGGACTATGTTTCTCGGCTGGCCTGGGAACGCCTTGGGATTCCCCCGCAAGAGCTGGCCCAAGTGGCCTGGGAGAGGGACGTTTGGGCCTCCTTACTGAAGCTGCTACCCCCGTGACCCGACCCTGGATAAGCGGAAGAAGATGGATGGATGGATGGATGGATGGATGGATGATGGCGACAATGACCTCACTTAAAAAACTAATAATTAGTCTTTTAAATTAGTCTGATAGGTTACATTTGATCAGAACATAAACAATGTTTAAAATTATGTAAATGGTAAATGGACCGAAATTATAAAGCGACTTTTATCCCACAGCTTCAAAATCAGATATTAAGACTTTGACTAGGCGACTCCATAAGCCAGACCATCACCACCACCATGTTTGGCAGCTGATCTTCCTTTCCTAAATGCTCTGTTAGCTGTATGCTGAGTTTGGCAGGATCCCAAACCTCTGAGAAAAGGAACACTTTGTTAAAAACACTGTAAACTTTCAAACAATGTCTAAGCGACAATTAGGATGTTTATAAGAAAATGTGTGAAGAATCTTTGTGCTCTTTTTGGTAAATGGAAATTTTCATCTTGAAATTCCCCAATGGTTATAATTTTTTTTTTTCTTCTTTTTGTTAAATCAGGAAGTCTAAACCAAAGTTAGGCCTGTGGTGATTTTAGATTTGTTTTGTTTGTGATCTCCAGGAAAATTTTGATGCTCTCCTTGAGGGAGTTTTGCAGGCTAACCACTCCTGGTAAAGTTTGCCACTGTCTATGTTTCTATCAATAATGATCAAAATAGAAAGGGGAAAGTCGAAATTTAAAAAGCTTCCTTAATTTCTTAAAAAAGTATTACGATCGTGTTACTTTTGGCCGTTCAAAATGCAGTTAATGGAAATAACATTTTGGGAAAATAGGATCAGGTAAACATTAACTTGATATAATCAGATTTTTTGCTCTTGGTGCTTCCTCAGATATTCCCATTAGAACTGCATTTCTTTCTGTGTCTCTGGACAGAAGGCAGCATCGCTAATACTGGCTGGCATTAAAATAACAATTAAAGCTTATCCAAAAACCTCACAGTTTTTCTCTATCTGTGGTCCATGCTAGTTTAAAAACCTGTACTTCCTGTTCACTACAGCTAGTAGGTGGCGTACTCATGCTTTCCTATTCTCTTTCCAATAATCAGTTTTACTATTCAAAAAGCAGTTCCTGGGTCTGCTAATAATGTCTGCTAGTTAGCAAATATTTGTTTTAAGTGTCCAATAAATGTATGAAGCATTTTTTTCCTATATATATGATTTATTTCTTTGGTAAAATTTCTACTTTCTTCTGGACCACTTAGACTTTCTTTGGATGTATTTTTTTTGAAAAACTGATTGGTTTGTTGAAAGATTTGTAGCTTTGACCTTTAAAATAAAACGCTAAAGAAAAATATAAAATTAGTTCAAGGGATCAATCAGTCACATTTCTGTGGCAGCATACTTTATCCTAATAAATGAATTACGTATTTATATTTCTTCAGTACAGGGGCCATAGAAGGGGCCAGAAACCCCTCTCCATGTGCACTGGCCCCGGTTGGCCCCTGTCTAGAACCGCCCATGGGAAAATCAATAGTTGTATGGAAATGTTCCAGCTGCTCTTATTTTCTTTATTTGTGGATTATGGATCTTGCTGTGATTCAATGGAGACCAAAATACTTTTTTCATAGTATTTTTACAGTGATAAAGGTCTGTGACCTAACATATCGGTGAAGATTCTTAGTCATCCAGATCATAGTTAAGCTTTAAAAGTTCAGTTTAGGAAACTGAAAGCTCTTTAGTACTGCTTTAAGTTCCAGCTCTTCGTTTAGATGCTGTAGAGTCCCACCATCATGCACTGCATGAAAAGTGGGATTTTCGTCAATATACGGCACTGTAGATTGTCGTGGAACTTCAGGTTAGCGGCAGTTTACGGCAATTTGCAGGCTTCGTCGAAAACTCCTGTAAATTGTCAGAAATTGACGTGGAATTTCTTAGGCAGTGTTCCCCCCATGCCTCCCCCCCATGTAATTCTAGGGGAGGCTTTAACATGTAAATGAACATGCTGTGAGCTATACAAATGCAAACCAGGGTTGCAGGGGGGGTTTTACCCCAAGTGACATCTTTCTGAGGAAGAAAATCTCTGATACAAAGAGATCAGGCTTAGTATAGCCTCTCACATTTTAGCTTGAATTGATTTATTTAATTAAAGTATAGAGACCAAAAACAGATCTTTAGCTGACAGAGCAATACATTTAGAGCAGTAATTATTTTTTTTAAAATTTGCATTTAAGATAAAAAATAAAATATTGTCTGTCAATATGCTCAATTCACAATTACTTAAGTGGAAAAGTTTCAAGAAATGAGTCTGAGATGATTCACTTTATAACATGGCGCATTATCCTGTTGGAAGTAGCCATCAGAAGATTGGTACACTGTGGTCATACGGTCTGGCCAGGTCAAGATCCGCAATTGCAATCGCACCAAACAGGAAAAAGAACATCGACAAATTCCGGTTCGTCAAATTAAAATATAGCAGCAACAGATCAGTGACTAGAAATTATAGCACAATTCATATAAATATCTAAAAAAAAAAAAAAAAAAAAACTAACACAGTTTATTTAAATGATTGGATCCAAACTATTGGTTATTCACCAACCAGGAAGCAGATTTCTCATCTCCATTAAAATATTTATTTTATACCGAGGGACTTAAAGTTTAATCAAATCCAGTTAAAAGAAACTTCTTATTACAGGAATGAAAAGAGATGCTAAGTTGTAGAGAACAAGTTCATAAAAAAAAAAAGCAGTTTTGAATTATCCTTATCTCTGTTACAAAAATCTACAAATATATATATATATATATTTGGGCAGAAACTGAACATATGCTGGATGATGGTGGGATTTTTTTAATATGTCATATTAAATTAAGCGCTCACAGGGTTCATACAGGAATGAGTGACTCTAATTTAATGCTATTTTAATGTTATTAGAAATGATTTTAATGCCATCAACAAGAACCATGTACACAAGTTATTAGTGTACATGAAATATGAAGGAGCTGCAAGCAGAGTTCCATGACTCCTGTATGTATGTAAACACACACACACACACACACATATGTACGTATATATATTCTCTAGCTTTTTCTCCGCCTCGAGCTTCCTTTCCGAACATACGGCTTTATAAACAGTTCCACGCAAATTAATAGCGATAGGCTATAATATCTGACGAAATTGTTTTTAGAAGCATTTTTTATTAAAGAATCATAAATGCAACGATAAACATATTTAATTAATTTTAGTGCCAATTAAGGCCTTGATTAAAAAAAGAATTATGAATTGTAATTATTTTTAATGATCCGCGGAAACCCTGGTTCATCTGGCGCATGCCCTCTACGATCTCCAAGGAACTCAGAGAGGAGGGGACGGAGCCACAGCGGCGGCTGTAGGCTTTGCTTTGTGCAGGCGGTCTGGAGCGCAGCGGGGCGGAGCGGAGCGCAGACGGAGTATGTGGGATTTCGGGGTAAAACTCTTCTTGGACGCGATGGCGACTCTGCATCGAACAAGACGAACTCAAAGAAGAGATGCTAGCGGTAAATATATGTTCGATTACTGCCTGCTAAGCTAAAAGCGGCCTAGCCTGAGCTATGGCTAATAGCAGCCTAGCTATTAGCCTATCTAGCCTAGCCTTGCAAGAACAAGCTTTATTAAAGTGCATTTTTTGTGATTTACGGGAAGCAGTACGCCGTCTTAACAACTCGGAGACTAATTGCAGGCGCTATGAACCGGAGCAAGGGTAAGATTTAAAGAATATGCTTTCATTCTGCGGTAAAAGGTAATGGATACCGATCATAGCTTTACATTTTGTTTTCACAGACCTCCTTTTTGCTCGGAGCCATAATCAGCAAGTCCAGATTTGCACGATGATGATAAAGACGACATTGTGTGTAAGTGACTTGTTTTAATGTTTTCTCCTTCCTTGTTACTGTGACTTGCGTTTGATTTTTTATTTATACCGCTCTCATTTAATTGTTTTCCAGCTGCCTGTAAGACGTATTTTCAGACGGTACGCAGGAGCTTCAGATATACGCTGCCAGCCAACACGCTGCGTGCGGAGGCTATCTGCTCGGAGTCGGGCCAGAAGAAAGAGGGTAAGACTTTATTCTGTGACTATTTTTCAGGTGCATTAATAGATGTGTTGTGTCCATACGCAGTGCGCTGATTCATTGTTTTTTTTTTTCAGCTGCTGAAAGCGAGGCAGAGTGTGCTAGCAGATGAGGAAGTGGAACTCTGGAAGTCCGCCGTCGTCAGCGGTGTCTCTGGATGGATTGTACGGTCGCCACCATTTCGTAGGCCGGATCCCTCTGAACTCTGTGTTAAGCTGCAGTCCCGGTTAGAAGCGATGCCGAAGTACAGAGCCACGCACAGTAGGCGTCTGCACATCGGACCTGCCTCGGAGGGAATGCTGCCCGTTACCTCCAACCCCGAGGAAGCAAACGGACCGTTCACGGACTTTTAATTTTTAGAAACGCATGTGTTTGGATACGCGTTGTATATAGTTGTGTGTGTTTTAATAAAGCTCTTTCTTTGCATAAACAGCTTCCTGGCAAATGTTCATTTCCTGTATAAATTCATTCATGTCCTTGATGGTAGCATAATAATTGTGTAGTAGTGTAGGATAACATAAATACACACCATATGAATGAATAAATATATGAATGAATAAATAAATATATATATATATATGAATAAATATATATATGTAAATATATATGCCAACCAATCACGAGCGACTTTACTTGTTTAAAAAGAAGTGGTTCCGTCCAATACTCAGTAAGAAAATTAAAGCCTGGCGTGGCCACGTGTGGTTTTGCTGCCAATCACGAGCGATTTCACTTGTTTGAGAATAGTGGTTTCAGCCAATACTGAGTAGTTTATTCAAGCCAGACCTGGCCAGCCGCGCGGGTTTGCTGCATTCATATGCTAATTAGGGCCATTAGTACAGCTGATCGCTCTCCACATACGTCACGGTACGTTTCCGACAATTTGTGGCACGACAAACGCGGACAAGCACGGGTTGCAAATTGTCGGAAACTGACGAAAATCAGGCAGATCTGCGGGAGTTTACGGGGGTTTACGGGGACGAAAATCTCACTTTTCATGCAGTGATGACTCATGCTAAAAATAATGGATAATGAATGTATTTGTATTATTCAGAAAAGGCTGCTTACCTCCACAGTTTGGATCTGCTGGTAGCTGCTGTCCCAGGAAATGAGCCTGCGGTCCTTCCCCCCAGACACTAACGTGCCATTCCTCAGCATGCACACTGCAAAGATGCTGCCCTGGTGAGCCCCCTGGATGACTCGGCTGATGCGATTAGTGCCTGCACAAGTGAGATGGGAGGAGACGGTTGAGCAGTGTCTCTGTTAGAGGGACGCTGACTGCTGAAGGAGGGCAGGGAGACAGACAGGAACGTGATCAATAGATTAGATTAAATCTAGACATAAATGGTGAAACGCCTTCCCCATTAAAGCTCTGCTCCACAGAATCCAGCTTTGATCTTTTCTCAATGTAACCTGACTTTGAGCTTCTGTCTGCTTCACTGCAGAAATCTCTGAGCTTGTGATCAGAAAAATACATTTATTTTCACTTTTCTGCTTCAGCTCACAGAAAGGATCATTTTCACGCATGTCCAATAACTTTCTGTGAATCTTCGTACCTTTTCCCCAAACCAAGATGTTTCCACTGGAGTCTCCTGTGATGGCATCTCCGTTTTCAGCGAAGGCCACACACAGAACAAACTTGGGCTTCTCCTGTTTCTGTAACAACAAAAGAACATTTCTATTCATGCAGCTTTTCACTGGTTGCATCCACTGGAAAGAAAATGCACTTTAATATTTGTTATAATTTCCATTACAAACATAACAGATCTGACCTTGTTCGTACTTATATCTTTTCTCTTCCTCATACCCTTGTCTCAGCCTAAACAACATCTTATCCCACATTACATACCACTGTAAATAACATCTGTTTGTTTTTTCAAGTACCTTGAGGTGACATTTGTCTTGATTTGTAATATATAAACAAACTGAATGTGAAAGTCGCCTCAGCCAGTGGATAATTCATCTACAAAGATGGGTTGCTTGCATTTGTGGATTTCCCCTCTAGTTTAAACATTGTGGTAGACAGATAAAATTATAGGCTCCATTTCCTTATTGACTGTTAAGTGCCACCAGACCGAATGTCCAAAGTCCTCTTCTGAGTAATTGATCAACTTTGTGTTATCTCATTTACCCAAGGCTTTCATCAGTCAGCTTTTTGTGGAATTCATTCCAATTCAATTTATAGGTATTTGTACCTTTAGATAAAAAACAAAACCAATGTTCTAGACTCTGGAAAGGGGTAGAAATGAAGCAGCTGCTAGTTCTCAATGGAGCGGTGTGCTGAACAAAGAACCAAGATGTAAACTGGGTCCAGCTGAGCAACAAAAGAGATTCACAGCTCCAACATACTGCAACTTATTTTGTTTAAGAGTTTTTTACCTTGTAACGAAAATGTTTCCATCATGGACCAAAGAGGGAACCAGACCAAACATTAGATGAAGAGCAGCAATAGAGAAGCTGAGGTCCAGAGAGCAGCTCTGGTTAACTTCCGGCTTGAGAAAGAGCTGTTTCCATAGTGACCGCTTCATGTCAGTCATGATGAAACAGGATGTTTAATCCAAGGGTTCCCTTCCAGTTCATCAGGAGGTTGTACAACAAGATGCGGACCACAGTAATGCACCTGCTTTACTATGAGGACTTTGTTGAGTTAAGATGAGTTAAGTACCAAAATATTTAACCATAGAACTTATTAAAATTTAAAGAGAGCCCAACGGTTGTTTAAGCCAAATGCTGGATCTTGAATAAACTAAGATATATTTTTTTCTTGATCTCTTTCCTGTTGAGGTCATCAGCAAGAAAGTCTACTGACAAATTAATTATTATTTTAAAATATTTTCATGGTTAACTTTTATTCTAAAATGCGTGATTTACTGATTTTTTATGTGTATTAAAGAGTTAAATGACAGAATAGAAATATCCTTCATGTTGCCGTGTTCTCTTACCTCAAACAGCCCCTGCTTTTTGACCAGCACGCTTTTCTCCAGAGTCCAAAAGCAGAGATGAGATTTGCCACAAGTCACAATGATGTTACTGTCAGTCGGGTGAAAGTCTGCTGCAAACACTGACTCGTTGGAGCACTAAACGGATCCATGAAGAGGAAGGAACAAGTTCAGGTCAGCAGGACTTACATCGGATATCAACGCTGTGGCATAAGGTGCACTAACCTTAGCTTCAGCGAGCCTTTCCTCTCTCTGCCAGTCCCACACAGAGAGGACATGATCGTTGGAGTCATCCACAACGCAAAGGGTGTTTCCTCCATTCTAGCATACAAAAAAAAAAAAAAAAAACATTTATTAATTTATGTACAACCAAATCTGAAAGCTAACTTTGGTCAGGACTGCAATTTCTTACCGACTTCGAGAACGCCAGGCAGACCAGCGCCCGGTCAAAGAACCCTGTGCCCAGAACATGGAGGGTGTTTAGGCTGACAGAGTCCCAGACGCGGACATGAGGAGCCAGCTGCTGTCAGAAAAACAAAAATGAAAACAAAAAGAAATGGAACAAATAAGGGTCACAATATAAAGCAAGGAGAATCAGAATTCAGTGAATATGAAGTATTTTGCAAAAGTCTTCAATCATAAATACCAAGGTGGTGATTTAAAAGTAGTACACAATAAAGTAGAGATTTCAGTTATGATGCATAACAATCTGAGGAGTCTAGAGCAAAGATGCTAAATAGAAAATAAGACAGTAGTGTCACAGTTCTGGTTATGTTATGTTTTCTTTTAAATCTTCAGTTTTACTTGCTCCTTGTTTTCTAGTTTTAGTGGTTTAATTCTTATTTTGTTGTTTTTTTCTGGTTATTTTCATTTTTCAGGTTTTTATTTGCTGCCCTCTTGTGTTCTCCTTTTTCCCTAGCTCCTTTCCTGTTCTGCTCTGTTCACACCTGCTCCCAATCTGCTCGTTAGTCCTCTCTTTGTTTCAGTCTCCCATAAATACACTCTTTGTGCAGTTCATCAGTGCTGGTTCTTCGTCTTACTTCCTCCAACTCTGTCTCTCTGAGTCTTCCTCCTCGTGATAGTTTCCCCCATGTCCCTGCATTTGGGTCCACAAACCTCAACCAAATCCTGACAAGTAGGGGATAAAAATCTGACTCAGAAGATTTGACCTTTGACCTTCAAAATAACCCCTTTTACAGATCAGATAAAATGGATCCTTAAACTGTGGATGTCGTCATAACCAACTCACTCCCACCCTTGTGAGTCAGTTTATTTAGTGCAGCTCATGTTTTCATATACATGCTGTCTGTTCATAGAAAAGTTGCAAACATGTGATATAATTTGATTGAAGGTTATAAATTGTATGCCTTAATCTAGAAACCTTTGATATAATCCATAATTTACAGTAAATTTTAATTATGATTAATTTATTTAAACCTGGACTGATCACACTGATTTAAAGGTGAAATGCAAAAATAAAGGTTAGAGATATGATAGTAATTCTGGACATTTATGGAAATTCCAAAGCTCTCTGACATAAAAAGAAGTTTATTTATGTTGTTTCAGTAAAATCCAACTCTCATTTATTGTATGACATAACATCTCAAATTTCAGTTTTTCCTCATGACAGTTGTATTGATCTATAAATGTTTGTGTGTTGGTTCCAGAAGTTTAGTTGTAATGTTAGATTAACATAGAGTGGTTTGTTCTTCGTTAGTTTTTATTTAGTTAGAGAATAATAGTTGATAAACAATATACTATTTTGTTTTTCCTGCAATTAAATACTACAGAAGAAGAAAAAACAATAATACAATGAAAAGTAGATTGATTACTAGTTCTTGTTCATCCATGTAAATATATATTTATAAATGTACCATCAATAAATTATAAATTTATTGATGGATATAAATTAAAATCCAGGAAATGTAACACAAATATTGTGATTCTTAGAAGGAAAATGATTTATGCTTTAAATAGTTACCCTGCCAAAGTTGTGAGACTTTAAGAATGTCTTTCTTTTTTAATGTTGCTCCATATCTCTTTAGTAAAGTTATTATCAAAGTATATAAAAATACAACACTTACTTTTCCATCTGAGGAGGTGCCTGCCACCTGCCCGGTCGCAATCGTAATTTTATCCGGATGGACTGCCAAGCTGGCAAAGACATAAAATATACATGTTAACATCATGTTTTTTAACATAAAATATCTTTAAATCAAGAGGAGCATTATGTCTGGAAAATATGTTAGGCTGTCAAATACATGCTAAACTCAGTAGGTAAAATTAGATTTATGAAGAATATTATCTCCCTTCAGGTTAGCTGCTATGCACTAAGGGAAATGTTTGAACATTTTAACACTAACATTAAAATCCCTCTGTAAATATACACACCTTCTCTAATCCAAACTGCAAACCAAACTTTGATTGACCTCAAAGAAGGATTTGAATCCCTTCAGGCACTAAACTCATTTATTGTGTCTAGAATTTGCTACTTCCTCTTTATAAAAGCTTGATCAAATGGAGCAGCAGAGGCGGGACGTCCTGTATGTCTCTCACCATTTGATGTCATCTGTGTGTCCTGTGTAGTGTCTCTGCAGCTGCTCGTCTACATTGAAAAGGACGACCACAGAGGCGATGAAATACACTGTTTCTCCAGTAGGAAGCAGGTACAGGTTGGAGCGACAGTCTCTGCCGCGGTAACCGTAGCTGAGCAGTTAGGGTCAAGGAATCAAAATGGATTCCTCACAAGTGATTTGAATCGTTTGTCAAGAACGTTTAAAGAACAATTAAAGCATGAAACATTTAATTGCAAAAGAGAAGAAGAAGAACCAACTCAGTGCTTAGCATTAGCCATCAGCTAAAAACGGGAACAAGTATGTCAAATATTTAGCAAAATCCACCCCTATTTTAAAACAAGGTGGTGGCAGCACATTGTTATGGGGATCATTATATTCAGTAGATACAACAAAGCCTTTCAGAGTCTATGTGAGGAAAGATGGATCTAATAACAGAACAATCCTGGACGTACTTCCCCTGCCAATTCCACATGGATGAGATGCAATGCATTAAAATGGCCTAGTCATAGTCCAAACCTAAATTCAGACAACTGGTGGCTTCTACTAATGAATTCCTGTATCTAGAGGTGAAAAGCTGGGAGACATATAAATGACTTGAAGATGTAATGGCAGAGAAAAGTGTTTCAATTAAGCATTTACTCAGCAGACTGGATACAAATAAACAAACTTCAGATTATCAATGCTAAAATAGCATAACAACTAGTAAGACAGTTCTTGTATAAATAATCACTACCTTGTCTTAGCCTATCACATACAATTTGAATAAAATATATTAAATGTGGATTCTATTCTAAAAAAAACATGGAAATATTTAAGCTATTTAGATTCTTTTTTGCTTTCATTTCTGTCCTGTTTGAGTCGTTTATGCTTTCCTCTTCAGAATCTTTTCCTTTTGGCCTTCTTCTATTTTTATTTCTGCCAGGCTCAACAGCAGCTTACATTCACCCCTAATATCCAAAGAAAATAAGCAGAGATGCCCACAAATGAGCAAAGAGAAAAAAGCACAAGAGAAGCTGCTGACTGCTTGCGCCATCGGCCTGTCAGCTGTGTGCAGCTATTACTGACTCCAGGCTACAGGGCGTTAAGGGGCGGCTACAGCACATGGTGAGAACAGTCTGAACAGATCAACTCTGGCAAGCAGGGTAAGTAATAATATACCTCCTTCTCCAGGATCACTGGTAAATATATTATCTAGATATTCAGCTAAAGTTTTCATTCCAGCTTGTATTTCTGCAGAAAACTCAGAGGCAGCAACAACAGGATACACCCAGTCCAGTTTGAGCTTGTTGCTGGGCAGCTCACCTCGGGCCTCCAGGCTGTAGCTGTCCACTTGGTCCTTTGGCATGAACATGGTGACTGGTCGACCCTTCAAGAACATTTTCACATAACCTTCCTCTAGAAAAAGCAATGGAAAAGGTTAAGGAAATCATGCATTCATACAGGAACATTACCAATGCACAATAAGGAATTAATTTAGTGATTAAAAAAAAGCACACAAAGCAAAGATGAGCCAGATGGGTTAAAAAAAGCTAAATGTGTGCAAAGGTTAAACAGCAGCAGAGCGATGTTAAATAATAAGAAGGTGGAATCTAATGTTTGTGCTTTGAACAGAGCATCAAAAACAGAAAAATGACAGAACTGGCAAACACAGTTTTTCAATTTGTGTTTTATTGGTCATTTCAAACACACAGAAAACAGAGGAAATAAAATAAACTGCAGATGCCTTAACATCTTTCAAAAATCATAACATGTTCACCTCACATCAGGAATTCATCGACACACAATGCAAAGACAAACAAATCAGCTGAGAGGAAACAATCTCAGCAGAGTAAAACAGTAACCTTCAAAAATAATGCACGCAGGGGACTTAAACAGAAAAAGAAATGAACATTAATTTAAAAGGTCAATAGAGAGGATAATTCAAGCCTAGATCAATATTGTTTTTACAATTTTTGTTTTCTTTTGTAGCCAAGAATTAGCTTCAACCTAAAATAGTCCTATATAAAGAGCTGAGTGTTGATTTTATTCTTTAATAATCTAGTAACATATCTGAAAGTACTGGCTGGGGGATTTAACAGGGCTGCAGTAGCTGGGAGTATAAAGAGGAGACAACAAACTCTCTGACTTCGGCTGCAGGCCACATTTTGGGTTCTTTCTGACTGATGACTTCGGGGTGGCGCCCCCTTTCACCGCCGCCCTGACCCTGCTGCTTTCTGAGCTCCTTTTGAGGTTGCTGTCTAACCGAGCTGTTAAAGCCAAAGCTGCAGGGCTGCGGCTCTTCCCCCTCTGATTGGCTGAGCGGCTGAGGTATATCTGAACTGTGACTTTAGTGGGGAGAACACAGGAGGAAGTGATGGAGGGACAACAGGATCAGACGGTGTGCAGAAGAGGGTAGAGAGATTTGGAAACTGTTAGATGCATTAAATTCCTTTGTGTGTCACGTTGAGAGGAAAATAAAAGCTAAGGAAAGGGGTAAAGCAGGGAAACAAACTTCTGTTACAAATCACCAACATCTGGAGGCTGTATAGCAAAATATCTTTATCAGCTTAAAATCTTTTTCATTTTTTTGTCAAATCGTAATTCAGCTTCAGCAATAAAATGTAGGATCTTTTTTTGCTCTTTGTATGTTTAAGGAAGCGACTCTGCTTTCTGGGCACACATATAGAATACGCTTCAGGACAGGTTAGAAAAGCTGGAAACTAGCAAATACTCATCTCAAGTGCAGGGAGACTGTAAGAGCAGGAATAAAAAAAAAAAAAGACAAAAACTTGGACGGCCTTCATTGGCAGACATCTTTGTGTCGTTGCCATAGTGACACAAACTGACTGAAGTTCTCAGAGCAAACAGGCAGCGTGTGAACATGTAAAGCTCTGCAACACACATTGAAGCAGCTCTGGAGCTTAGCTGGGATGTTTTTCTGACTTTACTGTCAGAAAATATTTAAAGGGAAAGTCTCAAACACAGCTCAGCGATTCTCTCCTGCTCCTGTCTGGACAGCTCTCTGCTCACTGCAAGGAAAGGTTTTAAAACATCCTACAGTTACAACCAGGAGATCAGCTCCTATTTTGTATTTTGACCAGAAAGGAGAGGCTCCATGTCTGACTAAATCCAAACTGACTGTTTGCATTGTTCAGAGACCTGTGGAGACAGGGGGGAGGTATGCAGGGGGAAAGGGGCCCTGGCCTACCTTTGCAGTGGGTCACGCGGCGCATCCCTTGTAAAGGTCACAAAGAGAGACACAAGCACCAGATGAAGGCTGGCATCGCTTTCTCACCTCTCGGTGCGTCCTAAGGTGAGCTCACTTCATGTTTCCTGGTGAACAGCAGCTTCTGTCATTGATGTTTTTAATAAACCACAGCGGTCATTTTCCCACTTTCTGATTTTTTTTATGTGTTCTTTGTATTTGACAAGAATGTCAATGTTTTTTACACAAAGCAAATACATTAATCGATTGGTTGTTTTTTTATACGATAAAGCAGCAGAAGGATGCATGTTTATTCAGAAACTAAGAGATACATCCTGAACCAATGTTTATTATGTGTGACATTTCAGCTAAGAGTCAGGTTGAGGTATTCTAGGTGCTGATCTAAACAAGTCAACAGGAGCCATATTTTAAAAGAACTTAATTTGAAAGTGTTCTTTAAAATTAAAATATGAGCAAAACGTTTTATGCATGGAACTGATCTTTGGCCTCATGGTACAAAAATAAGATACTCAGGATTTGTAGGTTTCCTAAACACCTTCGGTGGTTTGTGCACTGTGATGCCGTTTTTAGAAAAATCAACAGCGACTTAAAGATGGAGTTTTACAACAACAACTAACCTAAGCACCATGCTTGTCTTTTTCTTTTTAAGTTTGTTTTCCTTGTGTTTATTTGCTTTAGTTCAATCTGTATTGTTTACCTGAGCAGTGGCTGCTGGGTTTATCTGGAAAGGTGACACTATACAGTTACATGCAGTTAGGATAAATAGTTTATCAACTGGTCTGTGGAGCCATCAACTGTTATTGACAGCTTGATAAATATCTGTGAAACGCCTTAAAGCTACAGTGTGTAACTTTTAGCGACATCTAGCGGTCAGACTGCAGACTGCAGCAACATGAACATCTCCCCCCCACCGCTTCTCCCCCCCCACCAGTACGGCAAGCGTTATGGGACAAAATGTCTTCCACGACGTCCGCATCACCTACCTTCTCAAGTGATGAGGTTTGTTTACATAGATAATTTTACAGATAGTATTTCATTAGTCTGTGTAGGGTATAGATTTCATGTAGAAGATGAGATAAGATAATAAATATACCCGTTATTTTTTCTACATCGTTGTGACTTTTGGCGATCTCGCAATCGCTAGTTTGTTGGCTCTGCGCTGCCGTAAAATGTCTGCCTGCATGGCTGCGAGACCCGCTCCTATGTAATTATAAATAATGAACTCTAAGGCAACGCAAATATTAAGGTTAAGAGGCTGAGCTCGTAGATGATGATAAATAACATAGTTATGTATAATATATTACATTTCTGACTGTATATCCCTGTAATTATTACACACTGTAGCTTTAAGATTTTCAATTTTTAGATTTAGTAAAATGCATCCTTTTATCTTTTCGGAAGTGGGGGAAAATAGTCTGTTATTGTTTTATCATGACTCTCTGGGATGTAAATATGACGCCATGATCCATTTCTCTTTCTATTTGGTAAAGAAAAGTGAACATGATAGGTGAATAGTTGAAAGATAATTTTCCTCCTATAGATGCCATCTAAGCTTAATTGACCAAGATTGTTCACCAAAACAACAATTTTACAATTGAGAAAAAGGTAAGAGAATTTTAAAAGAAATATATAAGAACTGAAATAACAACTGTAATTTTTTAATAAGTATATTTGCAACAATAGAAGAGAAAGACCAGGTTGACTCTCACTGTGTTCATCAGCTGGGGAAAGAAACCGTTTTTGTGTTTCACATTTAGCGTTCTATAGTGAGGACCTGAAGGTTATAATATACAGTTTTTAGTCCAGGATGTGTGGGGCCTGCTGAGATTTTAGCTTTTCCCGACACTAGACCTGGTTTAGGTAATGTATGAACGAAAGGTTTGCCCCTAATTAAATATAACCATAAAAACTGTACACATTTATAGCCCTTTCAAACAAAATTTGGCTAAAAGTAACGGCGTTAATCTATCACAACCTTTAGAAATGAGACAATAAAATGGAAATATCTGACTGGGATATAATACTGATGGGATTAATTGTACAGTATGTGGGGCTGCTGTGCAACAAATGCATTGAAAATGTAAAGCTAATAATAAACTTAGGGTCCTGCTGCTGTTTATATCTTTATTATTTATTTGAACAGAAAGCTAGAACTGCTGATGAGTTGATTTAGATAAATAAAGGTATCAAAATTCAAAATAAATTGGCTCAAAAAAACAAAAAACAAAACAAAAACAGCAATACCCTGTTTCTACTAAGAAACAAGAAAGAAAGTTACTAAAAAATTTTTTTATTACTATGAGTTTTAAAGCTGGGATCAAGAAAATTATGCAATGTGAAATAAAAGGATGATGAGAAGAATGAATGTTGAACAGCAGGACATCATGGAAAGAGGCTGAGAGCGGTCCTCTGTGTGCAAAAGGCTCAGCACAATAAACTGATTACAGCTAACAGTAAATACGTATACCTTTAAAAATAAAGAAAATTCCAATCAATTTCACATTTAGAGTCTGAATCATAAAAATGCTGAGACCACAGAGAAACACAGAAAACCGCTCAGCATCTACTGCTTATTGGCTGTTATCTTTGATGGTGTGAAAGCTTTAGATCAAGGCTCCTTGGACTCTTACCTGCATTGAATATCGGATCCCTCTGTTTGCTGCAGAATAAATAAACACAAATCTGTCAATCAGCTGCCAAACTGCACAAAAATCATAACATTCTCTCTTTATTTTTAAGATTTGCGTATTAAATTTCTCTCTGCAGTTAAGATGACCTAAAGCATCCCTGATTGAGGTATACGTCCACCACTCGATCTAGTTTTACCTGTCGCTCCTTCTGCCGCTGGAGTTGCTGCCAGTGGAGCCGGCCCGGGTTCGGTTGCCCTTGGAGTCGCCTGAATCTTTGCGTGTTACAGTTCCCATGTGTTCGTTTGAATTTGCTCTCCTCACAGTGCTGAAGAGAGACAAAAAAAGGGCAAAACTAATGAACAGGGGCGAACAAATTAAGAAGAAATATTCCGTAAAATTACTTGACAATAGCTCCTGAGCTTTCTAGCGAAGTTTCCATGTGTAATGATATGCTTCTGTTATGATGTAAGACCCGCCGTTTTGCTCCACCAGGAGCAAGAAGATATTTTGAGCGTGCAGCGTGATTTCTCATCTTAATGCTGAAATAACACACCTTTATAACCCTCTGACTTTTTACATTTGTCACTTGATCTACAAACCTCTCTTTTGTTTTCCTAATGGATCTTTTAGCCCAAAGGTTTCAATACCTTGTAGAATCACCTTTTCCTACAAACAAAGCTTCAAGTGTTTTGGTTTCTACCAGCTTTGCAAAAAGATAAAAATGTTTACCCATTCTTCTTGTAAAATACGGAAAATTTAGAAACTTTAAAGTCTTGCCACAGATTTTTAATTGTTTTAAGGTCTGGTCTTTAACCAGATCATTACTAAGATTCTCTAGAAGCGCTTTCCCTCAGCATAATACTGCCAGGCCTATGTTTCACTGTGGAGAATGGCCATGTAGAGTCAGTTTTCCTCCATACAGAAGAAACAAAGTCGATTTAAAAACGAACATCAATCATCACTTTAAGTCATATTTGTGCTCTAGCTTATGTTTTCTATCACATTATAGCTTATACTTATTCTATTTCACTATACTTTAACCAATACTGTTTGTTTATACATTTTTATATTGCATTTATATTGTAAATACGTCTAGATATGATTTTACTGGGGTGCTCAGTTGTGCAGTGGGTAGCACTGCTGCCTTGCAGCAAGAAGGTTTCGGTTTCGATTCCCAGCGTGGGGACTTTCTGCATGGAGTTTGCATGTTCTCCCTGTACATGTGTGGGTTCTCTCCGGGTACTTCAGCCTCCTCCCACAGTCCAAAAACATAATAATAATAATAATAATAATAATAATTGAACTTTATTGATCTCACTTTGGAGAAATTTACCTCTGCATTTAACCCATCCCTTTGGGGAGCAGTGGGCTGCCATCCTGGGGGGAGTGTGGGGTTAAGGGTCTTGCTCAGGGACCCAGAACGGCAGTCTGTGTAGGGCATAGAGCTTGGAATCCCGAGGTTCTGAGTTAGGGCCCCACTCCCACAGACCGCCTCTCTGGGTCCCTGAGCAAAGACCCTAAACCCCACACTGCTCCCCTGGCAACGCACAATGGCAGCCCACTGCTCCCAAATGGGATGGGTTAAATGCAGAGAGTTCATTTCGTTGCTCTGTACTTGTGGCAGTGTAATGACAAAAAAGAAAAAAAAACTTCATATGAGATATTGCAGGAAAAAAAGACTGAATCCCTCATTTTTGCCATGTGAAAAACCATCAATGTGTGAATAAGAAAATAAAACATTTTAGATACTATTAAGTTAGATTATAAGTGAAATGCTGCATAGATATATGGGAAGCAAAACAAGAAAATAAAAAAAAAAGATGACAGAGAGTAAGGGGAGAATGTTAACGCTTCGACTTTTTCTGTTTGGTCAGGAAAATTTCTTCAAACCGGTCAAAAAAATTGTATCTTTTTGTACTTTAATGAAGTTAGTCAATAAATAATTTAACTTAAGGAGGTGCATCATGTTCGGAGCGGTGGAATACAGTAGTTCTGCTGCTTTATGCTGCTGTAAATTTTCTCTCTAAAATTGTGTATAAACTTTGCATGCAAAACTTTTTTATATGCTCTAATTTCAGAAGTTTCAGACCAAGTACAATGTAATTTCATTCTGAAGTGCTCCATTTGGTTTCTATTCTATTATATTCTGTTCACAATTTGTTCATACCATAACAGTTTCTATTCTTTAAAAGAAAAACAATTTGTCTGCGATAAATGAAATAAACTTCACTGACTTCAAAACTGCTGCAAATGAGAAAATAAAAAGGTATTTGCTTAGTGGGGTTAATATCAGCATTAAACCAACTCGAAAAAGTAAAACATTACAAAATGATAGGATGATATTTCTCCTGCTACTCGCAGCATCACATCCTCTGACTGTTTAAAACAGTATCATGTTGTTTGGAGCCTCTCTGCAGAGCTGAGCCATAACAAAGAAAGAGCTCCATCAGCAGCCGACCAGCCAGCAGGCTCATTGGTCATCTAATCCAGCCAAATGGTAGGAAAGTCTGCTCAGACTCTGAAACCGGCCGCTGGCTGTTATCCCTCCTGCACAAACTGTGTGTGTTTGCTCTCTAAAGGACACAGCAGCAGAGAGGAGCTACTGTTTGCCTTGTTTTTCCCTTGAGGAATCACACTGCCCTAATTGGGCCGCAGGGCTTTAAAAGCTGCTCTGTGTTTGGCAGCGCTTATTAGGACTGCGACGAAGCTGCGGCGTATATTAACACAGCACAAACATCAATTATAAGCGACCAATGAGAGAGGCAGTCTGAGGAAGTCAAATAAAACCAAACGGTTGTTTACAAGAGGCAGATAAGCTTTTTAAGGCGTTTATGTTAGCTGCTGCAAATGGGCGAGTCTCACCTGAGGAACAACATTCTAGAGAGAAAAAAAGAGGACAAAGTGAAGAGAGTAACCAGATATAACAAAGAAAACAAAACATCAGATGGAAACCGGACATGTTATCAGATAAAAACCAGACAGGAAGAGGAGAGAGGAGAAAAAAAAAGGATTAAAAAGTTTATTTTAGTCATTTTAAATACAGTAAAACTCATAAATTAATCAAATAAAGGAAACAAGTGTTTATTTCTGATCATTTGTATTATATATCTGTTTAGCTGAGAAAAAACACTAAATTCACTCTATTAGAAGATGTTACATAAAAGCAGTAAAAAATAAAGAAACATCCTGTTGTGGTCATGTTATGTCCAACACTGCTGACTTTAGAGCTCTCCAATAGACAAACTATCCCTAAACACAAGCTACCAAAGGTCATCCTAAAGAAACTGGTTGGCTCCAACCAATCATGTTTAAGGAAGGTTTAGTGGAAGGCAAAAGTGTGGCAGAGACTCTAAAAAATAGCGAAGCAAGGCCCATTCAAGAGGAAATGGATGTGTTAAGGATTTGGGCTCAAACTGTCACATTGATTGTTTTGTGTTTTACTCCAGTCTCAAAATAAGGTTCAGAACCTGGACTTAAGACTGAAATGAATTTGCCACTCAATGAGCACACTGGCCACAATGCATCAACAGAGTATTTCCAAGATAAGAGACACTGGAGCAGCAATGCAGCTGCGAATAAGGCCACTTTTAAAGCGACTTTTGTTTCCTGAACATCTCAGCAGAAACGCAGGGTGACAGCCACTGTACTGCATTGCTTTGCTGCAGGAAATCATGCAAGTTTGGAAAATACCTTGCAAGCGTTGGGGACATAATCTTCTCAGTGTTGGGAGCTGGAGTTGTACCATCTTTCTCCAGCAGAGTCCGCCGTGGATCCTCCTGAGCAGAGCCTCCTGCACAGCTGCTGCTCATTACCATCATCAGAGGACCCACTATATAAGCTGTCTTCAAACCTTGCCTCAACGTCGCAGTGTTGTATCCAGTTGGTCAGCGCCTAAGCCTAGACTCTCTGAGTATCTTTGTGACTTTGAATCCAGCCAGGATTCTAACCGTTGTCTCTATCTTCCAGGAAACCTGTGTCTCCTCTGTGAAGCTCTGGAAGAGCTAACCTGCCGAACCAACCCTCTGAGCCAAACCTGAAGAACCATAGAGAACTTCCATGCAGCTCAGGACTAAGAGCTGGGAAACCCAAAGCCAAAGTCTGTTCATTACTAGACGTGAGACGCTGAAGCAGCAAGCGGACTCTGCTGATCAACTCCTCTCCAGAGCCAACAGTGACTCTCCCAAAGCTAACCTCAAGAACCCTCAAGGTACAAACCAGAAACCCCCAAAGTCAAGCTCCTCTGATTCTTCGCTAACTAAACTGTCTCCCACGCAGACTCCAGTGAACCAGTTTCCCAGGCCCCGAACCTGAACCAGTACATTCAGTGTGCTTGTGAAAAATAAACTCTGTTAAACCTTTACTCCTGTTTCCGCCTCAGTGGTGTTCTGCATAATTGGGTCCCCTTTGAGTACCCATCATGACAGAACACTGCAACCAACAAATATTCCCAGCGGAACCCCTCTGGAGGCTTCTGAAGGATCTACCGACCCAGATTCAGAACCTTGATGCCTCCCTCCGTGAGAGCCACAATGAAATGGCTAGGAGATTTGAGTGCGTCATTCGGGATGTTCACGACCGGCTTGTGGACAGATTCATTGGTGAGCTCAACACTCAACTTAATAAGTTTTCGCAGGAGTTTTCCAGACAATCAGCTCCTAGAGCGGAGCCCGTCCAACTTCCGTTTCCGGAACCAGAGCCTGTCACGTCACTTCCGGAATTTCGTCCGTCTCTCCCAGAGAAATTTTCAGGTATCCCAAGCAAATGTAAGGGATTTTTGTTTCAATGCCGACTTATTTTCCGGAGTTCTCCAGGCAGCTTTTCCACAGATTACAAAAAGATAACCTTCATCCTTTCTCAGCTAACAGGAAGAGCCTTGGAGTGGGCTCAGGCAAGATTTCCCACCGACGAAAGCCTTAATTGCTATTACTCTGACTTCATCTCCGAATTTACTCAAGTTTTCAACCAAGATTCTGACCAAACAATTGACTCTCGTGCTCTGTTAAATCTAAAACAGGGAAATTCCTCTGTAGTGGATTTTTCTATAGACTTCCGGGTTAAAGCTGCACCCTCAGGCTGGAATGAGAGTGCACTTAAGAGTGCATTTTTCAACGCTTTAAACGAGAACGTAAAAGATGAACTCGCCACACTCGAGACACCGGAGACCCTGGAGGAATTCGTCAGGCTGACGATTAGTTTGGATAACCGTCTTCGAACCAGATCCAAGTCAAAGATTAAGAGTCATGTTTTTCCAGTTTCTGTTTCTACGGCTAAGAGAAGGGACACCCCTTCCTTTGTTTCTCCCGAAGAGGCATTCAGAACAGAGAGTCGTGCCCAGCCTGAATCCTGTCTGTGTCTAAAACTCACTTTGCTCCACCAGTTTGTGAACCTACTGAGGGGGAGCCAATGCAAATAGGTCACACTAGGCTCACACCCGACGAGAGGAAGAGAAGGTTTGAGGAGAAACTTTGCTTTTACTGTGGGATACCAGGGCACTTTGTTTCATCCTGTCCAGCCAAGAATAAGATTTGGAGCTTGTCTGCGACTATGGAGAGTCTGGTGAAGCATCAACCAAATAGAAAATCCTCTCGTCTTCTTTTACCTGCTACCCTGTTCTGTTCTGATCAGACTCACACTCTGTCAGCCTTCATAGACTCTGGTTGTGAGAGAAACCTTATTGACTCTAATCTAGTTCAACAGCTAAATATTGAGACCACCCCTCTGAGGAAGCCACTTAAAGTCTCAGCGATTGATGGAAGGAGTCTACACCAGGTTACCCACAAGACTCTGCCTCTTCAGCTTCAAGTTTCAGGTAGTCATCGAGAGACCTTAACCTTTCTTGTTTTCCCATCAGCCTGTTCTCCTTTGGTTCTGGGATATGAGTGGTTGGAACGACACAACCCTCATATTAATTGGACTCATAGACACGTTGAATCGTGGTCTCCCTCCTGCCATGCCTCCAGTCAGTCAACCAGTCCCCGCTCCGCCGAACCTTCTGGAGTCCCTCTACGGCCGATCCGAGCATCCAGGGGCCCTCGGTGGGCACCTCAGGACACCTCGGAGTCTGCACCGGAGTCGTCGTGGGCGGCTCTCTCTATGTTGCAGCCAGAGCTGCAGTCGGCGGTTCTCTCCGAATCTGCTCCGGTGCCGCAGTGGGCGGCCCCGCCCTGCACCTATTTCTGAGCTGCTACCGGGTGTCTCCCGGTAAAATATCAGAGACTTTCTTTGTTGACGTCCACCTTTTGTGGATTGTTTTTTGTTCTGGGACTCAGTTTTGTTTTTTCCTTTTTCTTTTCCCCTCCGTCCACCCTGGGTGGGTTGGTTTTTTGTTTTGGACTCTGCTTCTTGCCTACCTAGTATGGTGGCCCCTGCGCCCACCCTTGGTGGGTTGTTTTTTGTTCCCTTGTTTTCCCTAGGTCTTGTCTGAAGCGTCTGGAATTCGCCCTTGAGGGGGGGTACTGTTGGGAGCTGGAGTTGTACCATCTTTCTCCAGCAGAGTCCGCCGTGGATCCTCCTGAGCAGAGCCTCCTGCACAGCTGCTGCTCATTACCATCATCAGAGGACCCACTATATAAGCTGTCTTCAAACCTTGCCTCAACGTCGCAGTGTTGTATCCAGTTGGTCAGCGCCTAAGCCTAGACTCTCTGAGTATCTTTGTGACTTTGAATCCAGCCAGGATTCTAACCGTTGTCTCTATCTTCCAGGAAACCAGTGTCTCCTCTGTGAAGCTCTGGAAGAGCTAACCTGCCGAGCCAACCCTCTGAGCCAAACCTGAAGAATCATAGAGAACTTCCATGCAGCTCAGGACTAAGAGCTGGGAAACCCAAAGCCAAGGTCTGTTCATTACTAGACGTGAGACGCTGAAGCAGCAAGCGGACTCTGCTGATCAACTCCTCTCCAGAGCCAACAGTGACTCTCCCAAAGCTAACCTCAAGAACCCTCAAGGTACAAACCAGAAACCCCCAAAGTCAAGCTCCTTTGATTCTTCGCTAACTAAACTGTCTCCCACGCAGACTCCAGTGAACCAGTTTCCCAGGCCCCGAACCTGAACCAGTACATTCAGTGTGCTTGTGCAAAATAAACCCTGTTAAACCTTTACTCCTGTTTCCGCCTCAGTGGTGTTCTGCATAATTGGGTCCCCTTTGAGTACCCATCATGACACTCAGCACATGGATATAAGCTTTTGTAAGCTTAGATTGTTGTTTTATAAAAACATTTTATTGGTCTGATGAATCAAATTTTTGAGAAAATAGTTTTTCGGTTTTCAGCTGTAAGCAAAAACAATAAGAATAAAAATAAATCCCTGAGACATGTCACCCTGTATGTAATGAATTAAATGAACAAAATAAACCATTGTTTCTATAAATCTCTGTTTACTGTAACTGCGACTTATTCCTTAACTGTACTGTAAAATGACTAACTGATGTCTAATAAACCCAGTTTATTAAAACTGGCCTGTTCAGTGGAGCTCAGCGAAGGTTACTTAAGTTTTTCTTTCTCTTTTCTAGCAAACATGACTGAAGCGAGAACCGACAGACACTAACACTGGAGCTGTGACATCTGTTTGGACGGAGCAGGTCCCTGCTGTCTGCAGTCCTCATCTGATTATGTTAATGTCATCCAGAAACGGGAAAAGGCTTTTGTTTCTCTGGCAGACATAATTTATAACTTGGTCTCCACCTGCACACACATATGGCCAGGACAAAGAAGGCTTGTTTATAAGCCCTGTTAAATGTCAGTGGATTTGGCTGATAGAAAGCTTTAACTGTAGAAGGACACCAAAAACACGATGTGTGGCTCAAACCTTCCCAGCAGCATTAGGAGGATCTAAATGTATTTAAGGACCAACACAGCAAAAGCTGTTGAATCAGAAAGTATGCAATATTTTCTAAAGATACCACAATGGTAATAAAAACACTTCTAAATACTTCCTTTCCTAACCTCTTATTGGTTGCTGGGCTGGCATCCTTCCTGGATCCAGATCCAGCTGGGGAGGGCAGAGTGCTGCTGCCTTTCTTTGGCAGGACGGTCCCGTTGTTGACTGTGGGCCGTAACGGCAGAGTAGCGATCATCGGCCTGGCTGCAAGACAGACAGACAGACAGCAGGACAATGAGGCTCTGCTGCAGCTATAATGTTAGAGAGGCAGATGTTTACAGCAGACATGTCAGTGATGAGGTAGTGAGGGGTCCTGGGAGGAGAAACGTGACTTTATACCAGGTAATCAAAATGTTAGGAGAAAAGATATTCTATTTGAGGTTATTTTTTTAACTTTTTTTTCTTGTATTTAAATTCGATTGTTTAAGTTTATGTTGCAGCAATGAGAGCTTCACCTCTTCAGGGTCGGCTTTCTGCAAAGATGAGGAGTGTGTGTATGGTAATTCAATTCAATTCAATTCAGTTTATTTATATAGCGCCAAATTCACAACACATGTCATCTCAAGGCACTTTACAGTTCAACCAGATCATACAGTCAAACTGATACAAAGTTTTCTATCTAAGGAAAACCAGTTGATTGCATTGACTCATTGACTCAAATACAATCCCCCACACTAAGCATGCTTGTAGCGACAGTGGAGAGGAAAAACTCCCTTTTAACAGGAAGAAACCTCCAGCAGAACCAGGCTCAGTGTGAGCGGCCATCTGCCGAGGCCGACTGGGGTTCAAGGAGACAGAAGCAGAGATACAAAAAGCAGCTGTAAAAGGCGGCCCCGTCCAGGAAACACACAGCCAGGCAGACGAGTTCCAAGGCAGCTCCCATGCCAGAGGACGAAGAGAGCACATCCACTCAGTCACGGTCAGAGAAACAGGACCACACTGGAAAACAGGCCGATCTCCAACATCTATTAACAAGGGTGTTGATAGAAGCAGCACAGCTGATGTTTTTTTCCAGGATGACGTCACAGCCAAACAGGAACAGACGAGGCAAAGCTACTCTGAGGAAAAGCAGAGAGAGCAGAAGGTTAGAGATTGAACTAACAGATTCTGCAGAATAGGAGAACAGAGAGAGAATGAAGCAGAATGATGAAATGGGGGTCCCTATGTCCTCCAAAAGTCTAAGCCTATAGCAGCATAACTATAGAGATAGCTCAGGATAACCTGAGCCACCCTAACTATAAGCTTTATCAAAAATGAAAGTTTTAAGCCTAGCCTTAAAAGTAGACAGGGTGTCTGCCTCACGGACTAAAACTGGTAGTTGGTTCCACAGGAGAGGAGCCTGATAACTAAAAGATCTGCCTCCCATTCTACTTTTAGAAATTCTAGGAACCACTAGTAAACCTGCAGATTGAGAGCGAAGTGCTCTGTTAGGAACATAAGGAACAATCAGATCTCTGATATAAGATGGAGCTTGGCCATTTAAGGCTTTATATGTGAGAAGGAGGATTTTAAATTCTATTCTTGATTTAACAGGAAGCCAATGAAGAGAAGCCAGGATAGGAGAGATATGATCTCTCTTTTTCATTTTCATTAGAACTCTGGCTGCAGCATTTTGGATCAGCTGAAGGCTTTTAACTACAGTTTGTGGACTTCCTGATAGTAAAGAATTACAATAGTCCAGCCTTGAAGTAACAAATGCATGGACTAGTTTCTCAGCATCACCCCTGGACAGGATATTTCTAATTTTTGCAATGTTCCTCAGATGAAAGAAGGAAATTCTAGAAACCTCTTTGATATGGGATTTAAATGACAGGTCCTGATCAAAAATAACACCAAGATTTTTTACTTTATTATCTGAAATCAGTTTAATCCCATCCAAATGAAGTGACTGGCTAATCAGTTTCTTTTTCAGAGACTCTGGTCCAAAGACTATAACTTCTGTTTTGTCTGCATTCAGAAGCAGAAAATTAAGAGTCATCCAGGTTTTTATGTCTTCAAGACATGCCTGTAATCTATGTAATGGGTTAGCTTCATCTGGATTTATAGACAGATATAGCTGGGTATCATCAGCATAACAGTGGAAATTAATCCCATGCTGTCTAATAATTCTACCAATTGGGAGCATGTATAAAGTAAAGAGAATTGGTCCTAGCACTGATCCCTGTGGTACTCCACAGGTAACCTTTGAGCGTGTTGAAGATCTATCATTAACATGAACAAACTGAATTCGATCAGATAGATAAGATTTAAACCAGTCTAGTGCTGTTCCTTTAATTCCAACAAAATATTCAAGTCTTTCTAAAAGAATATTATGGTCAACTGTATCAAATGCAGCACTAAGATCCAACAGGACGAGCACAGATACAAGTCCATTATCTGAGGCCATGAGAATATCATTAGTGACTTTCACCAGAGCTGTTTCAGTGCTATGATGAGCTCTAAAGCCAGACTGAAACTCTTCAAAAAGTTCATTATGGTGGAAGTGATCGCAAACTTGTTTGGCAACTACTTTCTCAAGAATTTTGGATAAGAAAGGAAGATTGGATATAGGTCTATAATTGACCAAGTCATCTGGGTCAAGAGACGGTTTCTTAAGCAGAGGTTTAATTACAGCAATCTTAAAAGCTTTAGGTACATATCCCTGTAACAGAGATAGATTAATCACATCTAAAATGGAGGAGGAGATCAAAGGGAATACCTCCTTAAATAACCTGGTTGGAACTGGATCTAACATACAAGTTGAAGGCTTAGATGAAGACAATAATTTTGCTAATTCAGAGAGTTCAACTGGATCAAAGCAGTCTAAACCCGGTTCAGATTCCATGACTACCTCAGGTACAATCGCGGATAGAGGAGTGCTTATGATCTTATTTTTAATAAGATCAATCTTATTTATAAAGAATCCCATAAAATCATTGCTGCTAAGAGCAGGTGGAAGGGACGGTTCAACAGAGCTATGGCTCTGGGTGAGTTTGGCAACTGTATTAAAAAGAAATCTAGGATTATTCTTATTCTCCTCTATTAATGAGGAGAAGTATGCTGCTCTTGCTTTACAAAGGGTCCTCTTATACAGCAGTAAACCATTTTTCCAGACTAGGAAGGACTCTCGCAGGCCTGTGGAGCGATATTTTCTCTCCAGTTTCCTAGCATTTTGCTTCAAAGTACGCAGCTCTGCATTAAACCAAGGAGCAAGCTTTCTATTTTTAACGGTTTTCATTTTCAAAGGAGCTGCGTTGTCTAAGGCAATACGCAGAGAACTAGCAACCCCCTCAACAAAATCATCAACCTGTAAAGGGGAATAAGCTAAGCTTTTGCACTCTGCAGCACTGCTCAGTGACACAGAGCAGAGAGAAAGTGAAGCAGATTCTTTAAAATTTATAACTGCACTATCTGATAAAGATCTACTAAAATTGAACCTTCTTTTGGGGGAGGAGAACTCTGTTAAAGTAATCCTGAAGGTTATTAGAAAGTGGTCAGAGAGGACAGGGTTGTGAGGAAATACTGTTATTTCTTCACATTCTATGCCGTATGTCAGCACAAGATCCAAAGTATGAAGATGAGAATGCGTGGGACTATTCACATTTTGAACAAAGCCAATAGTGTCTAAGATAGCATTAAAGGCTGCTCTTAAGCTATCGCCTTCAATGTCAGCATGGATGTTAAAATCTCCCACTATGATGACCCTGTCAGTATTTAATACCAAATCAGAAAGGAACTCTGAAAACTCATCTAAAAATTCAGAGTAAGGACCTGGTGGACGATACAAAGTTACAAAAAGAAGAGGTTTTCTTGCCTTGAAATTTGGATCAGGGAAATTAAGGGTTAAATGTTCAAAAGAGTTGTAGGAATTAATTGTTTTGGGAGTAATCAGTAAGTCAGACTCGAAGATTGTTGCTACTCCTCCTCCTCGCCCAGAACTTCTGGGGATGTGAAAATTTAAATAGCTTGAAGGAGTTGCCTCATTTATGCTCACATAATCCTCTTGCTGCAGCCAGGTTTCTGTAAGGCAAAACAAGTCAATGTGATTATCACAAATCAAGTCATTAACTAGTAGACTTTTAGAGGAAAGCGATCTTATGTTAAACAGACCGCATTTAATTGTTTTAACTTTTTCCCCAATTGGAGTTATTTTGATTTTAATTAGATTATCATGATTTACTCCTTTGGGAATCTTTGCTAATTTATTAGATTTTGGTCGTGGGCAAGACACTGTCTGGATGGAGTAAAGAGTGGGTAACAGTAGAGAAGCTGCAGAGATGTGTGTTAAACTACAACTCTGCTTCCTGGTCTGCACCCTGGGTGGTCAGGGTTTTGGAGGACTAATAAATGTGGCCAGATTCCTAGAAAGAAGAGCTGCACCATCCAAAGTGGGATGGATGCCGTCTCTCTGAATCAGACCAGGCTTTCCCCAAAAGGATTGCCAATTATTAATGTAGCCCACGTTGTTTTCAGGGCACCACCTAGACAACCAGCGATTGAATGACGACATGCGGCTAAACATGTCATCACTGGTCAGATCAGGGAGGGGACCAGAGAAAATTACGGAGTCCGACATTTTTTTGGCAAACTTACACACCGAAGCAACACTAATTTTAGTGACCTCCGATCGGCGTAACCGGGTGTCATTACCACCAGCGTGAATAACAATCTTACTGTATTTAACCTTATCCTTAGCCAGTAGTTTCAGGTAGGATTTGATGTCGCCCGTAATGTGTCTATTCCTGCAGAACAGCATTAGTGAGGTCAGACCCTGATGTTGGATGAGACCTGGCTCAGAGTTTGTGAAATAATTTACAATAACTGTGAACTTACCTCGCCAATCGCTTTGAGTTTACGACTGTTTTACCACCATTAATAAATGGTCATTGGCCATTTAGTGAGGGGTCATTACGTGACAGAACCTTTTGCCTGGATGGCATCGATTCATGGCTCATAGTGAGTCTATAGCAGGAGTCTGAAGACCTGGATGCTGGATTATAATCATCTTAAATCCAACGATATGCATTGAGGGGGGAGAGTCCTTCTGGCAGTATGCTGCATTTTGATTTCATAGCTTTAAAATTAAGCAATAATTAAGTTTTTTTTTTTTCTCAGGAATTTAACTTTGCCAATAAAATACATATATATGTGTTAGTGAGGGAAGAAACCAAAAGATTCAAAGGACTGAAATATGTTTGCTCTATCTGCAGTAATAAATATTTAATAGATGCAGCATCCTCCTGCAGAGACACACATTCAGTCTGAAACACTTGCACATCCAGACCTTTCCAACTGATCTCTCAAGTAGCCATTAATCTGCAGGAACTAGCTCAGGTTTGTAATGTTGTTGTCGTGTTAGAGAGGATAAACAGCTGGTCCATGACTTGGATCAGTGCGTGTTTGTTAAGCTTTTCTTGCTTCAGTAGAGGGAAACAGTCTGCTGGATGTCTGCAGGAAAATACTCAACAGCAACTCGAGGTCTGAATCATCCTCCCATATCTGGGTGAAACTAGGTGTGACAACATTAACTAAGCTTGGAGAAGCTCAGAGCTCTGATCTGTTTCTGCTCCACCACTAAAACACACATTTCACACCACTGAATCCATAGAGTGTAGTGAGCGTCACGTGAAACCGCTAGTTTATGTGTGGTGAAGAAACGGACACATGCAGAGCTGAAATGAAACAGAGGCGCAACAATGAGAGCCTTCATGTTTTACACAAACTGTCAGTGGAAACGTTAAAGGCTCTGAGGTGCTGGACATGAGTGGAGGCAGGCGGAGATGATCAGACGTTTAGAAAATAAGTCCTGATTTCATGTAAGGCTGTCCTTGCCTGGGGTGAGCCGTCACTTTTATCAAATTCTGCTCAATTATTAGATCGTCCAACGTGTTTTAGTGTCTCATATCATCTCACAGATCTATAATTTGATGGTTTAGTCAGATACGTTTCAGTTTATATGTCTATTAAAAAAGACAATTGCTGAAGCAGTGGTCCTCAACTATGATCCTTAAGGATCACTACCCTGCATGTTTTACTGTAGGTGTTTTCTTGCTGCCACACACCTGAATTACAAGAAAGAACGATTAACAGGCTTCTGCAGTTGATGGAGATATTAGGTTTGAGTCTCCTGACTGTAAAAACAAGAGTCAAGGCAAATGGTAAGATCCAAAGATCTGTCTGAGGACTCAGAGGGAAGAGTGCTGCAGCTTAGAGGTCCAGTGAAAGAATTAAAGAGGCCTTAAAAGAGTTTAAAATCAGTCGGTTCAATTTAGAAGTAAGTAGGTGGAGGATATGAAAAAAAGAAAAATCCGCCAAGACGCCTAAATCTGGACCTTTAACCACATTTCTCTTAAGAAGAGATTGCAAGATGGAAGAAGTCCCTAGGAGTACAAAAATTTCCTCAACTGACATATATTTGGCTCTTTGTGAATGTTTAGTTAATATATTTAACAGCAGGACTGCGTTTATCCAGAGAGAATGCAGACAAAGGTCAGATCACTGCTAATAATATACACATGCATCAACAAGGGCGTAGGAATATGTTTACAATTGGGGGGGACACATGTCGGAAATCTGAGATTCGTAAATATTCAACAGAAACATATCTTAAGTACGCTACTTAAAAAAAAGGCTATTTAATCTTTTACTTTATTCCTTTATAAATGTGTTTGCAAAAATAATGCATTTAAAATTAACATAATGCATTTGTTCATAAGATGTGAGCATATCACCAAACAAAATGACTGGAGTCTTTTATTAAGCAAAGGGAGATGTCTTTCAAGGGCTTCAGCCCTTGGCATATTTAGTGTCCGCATACGCACTAGAAAATCAAAACAATTCAGTAGGCCACACAAGTGCAAAGTTTGATATGTTTTATTTTGTCAAACTTGCAATAATGGTCAAAAATGAATTTATATAGATTGACTGACAGAGGGAGCTGACAGTGTGTTGAAGAATTATGGACAGGGCGCTTTGAAGCATCTGGTTCAAAAACGCATTCTAAACCTTTGGTAGAAATCCATCTATCCTTCCATTTTCTGTACACCCTGTCCCTTAGTGGGGTCAGGAGGTGCTGGTGCGGGGTCCACCCTAGACAGGTGGCCAGTCTGTCCAGACCTTTGGTAGAAATGGCGCCTTTAATTCCAGTTTGCAGTACAGAACAGAGAAAACTACAGAGTTGTCAATGTTGTGTTAATCTGTTTATAGTCTAAAAAGAGGAGCCAGCAGTTTATCTGAGGAAATAAAGATGTAGAAGTTAATTAGTTGGTTAATTAGTGGTTGCACAACCAATGCGACCGCCGCTGCTAAGAATTAAAAGTAATTCTCCCTGTGGTTAACTAACGATCAGGAGCGCGGCAGGTATAACATCTGTCCATTTCGGCGAATCAAAACCATGCAAAAAATAAAAAATCCTCGTAAAACGCACACCCAGACCGGGCTAATTTCAACACAAGTTGTGTTAGGTGACTTTTACTCTCACTGACGTTTCTCTTTAAAAAAAAATCTGAGTAAGTCCTACTGCTGTTTCAGCCTTTTAGTTGGTGGTAGCAATGTACTGAAATGAGATATAAAAAAATATATATAAAAAAAACATTTTGGCTAGCGTGGCAAACGTCTAGAGAAAGTTAGCAGTTAAATATTGGATGAGTGATCAGACCAAGACTACGGAAGAGGATTAGGGCCACTGGAAAAAAAAAAAAAGTTAAGTGATTTTTACATTTTATTTCAGTTTAATACGGGAAAAAAGTCAGAATTCTGACTTTTATTTTCAGAATTAAGACTTTTTTTCTCAGAATTTTGGATCTTAATGTAGATGGGCACCATGAAGGCAGAGATGTGGAGCACTCAGCTTCACTGACAAAAATGTGAGTTATTTGAGAGAGCCAGTGACACATTGGTGGAAAATGACAGAATTAGGCAACTTTTTACGTGCCCGAGGGGCCCCCTCATTAATGGCGGAGCAGAAGGTCATTAAAACAAGAGAGCTAGTCTCTAAAAGAGACATGGCTATGGCTGGATGCTAACATGTTTGTTGTTAAACATACTTTTGTTATATTACATTTGTGTTGTGTTTTCCAAATAGTGTAGAAAATGAATGGTGGGTTTATAATGTTTACCTTTTATGAGCAGGACAGGAAGCAGAGAAGTGTAGCATTACCTCCAACTAGTTAAACTCATAATTATGAAGTTATTCAACAAATTCCTCAAGTAAAAAAGGGCAACTTTTTTATTTATTTATTTTTTACCAGATTTGTGGATTAATTTCAAAATTATGTATTCCTTCCAAATTTCCAAATCTGAAGAATTTTTTAAACCAATATCTACATTATTTAACATTTAGTTTATGTTTTAGCAGTACTTCCTGTTATATTTCTTTATACGTATATTTTACATTTTCTTGCACAGCAAGCTCAGCAGATTTGAAATTGTGTGCTTGTGTAAACACAAGTAGTCAATCTTTACTCTAAACATATATTCTGGTTATTTTTTAGGTAGACCTTCTTGTTTTTATATATCTGTATAGTCCCCCCTCCCCCCACCAAAAAAAACTGTAAACTGATTAGAAATATTAATCATATGTCAGATTTCTGAGAAAAAAGTCAGAATTCTGAGATTAAAGTCAGAAATCTGGGAAAAAAAGTCAGAAAAAAAAGTCAGAATTCTGAGATTAAAGTCAGAATTCTGAGAAAAGTCAGAATCTGACTTTTCCCCCAATGTTAAACTAAAAAAACATTTAAAAATCAGTTAACGTTTTTCAGTGGCCCTAATCCTCTTCCTACAAGACTAAGATGCCTAAACCAAAAAGATTCAGTTTCTATATATGAAAGTGAACTGACAACAAGACGTTATAAATAAGCAATATTCATAGCAGCATTCCCGACAGACCATTTTACCTCATTAACAAGTTTCTGACTTTCTGTATCGCTGTTTCCCTCTGAGAGCTCAAACACTCAACAGTTCACAGAGGGGAGGGGGAGTACAGTGACGTAACGCTATGCTGCGCCTTCAAAATAAAAGCACGATAGTTAAAAAATTGTCAAAATCTAATATTTTGCGGTACAATTTTTGGGGGGGACATATCCACCTGGCTTTTATATTGGGGGGGACATGTCCCCCCCGTCCCCCCCGCTTCCTACGCCGCTGTGCATCAATATAAATAATTTGGACACCAGAACAGAAGGAAAGAGGATCAGAGAAGCTTGTCCTTACAGAGTGTTTGAGAAAAACATGAGGAAATCTGCTAAATACATGTATGCTAAAACATGCTGGGCCCTGCAACATGACATGACCCAAAACACAGCAGTAAATCCACAGAGGAGTTTAAGAAAGGGAGATTCCTTGGCCTAGTTAAAGATCTGGATGCTGTTTTAGAGGGTGTGGGGTGACGTAAAGAGGAGTGAATGGATCCGGGCTGCTCAGTGGGTAGCATTGCTGCCTTGCAGCAAGAAAGTTCCAGGTTCGATTTCTGCATGGAGTTTCAAATGTTCTCCCTGTGCATGCCTTTATTCTCTCCGGGTACTCCGGCTTCTTCCCGAAGTCCAAAAACAAAGACTGTTAGGTTAATTGGCGTCTCTAAATTATCGCGACTCAAGCTGAGATAAAGCGTGACAGAAAATGGATGGATCTTTCCAAAACAACGATCAGAAACTATTAGAATGGTACAGGGAGCGACTCACAGTAGGTATTCCAACCAAAGGGGTAACGATTGTCCTAACGTTTTCCATGGATTGAAAAAATGTTATTTCAATAAAAATTGTTATTTAAGTATTATTAACTGACTCTCTTTCCAAATACAAATAAAAAAAAATCAATTCTAAGTTCCATATGAGGAAAATTACAAACCGATCAGTCTGATTAACTTTTTAATAAAAAAAAAATTACAGATTAAATGTTTTTAAAAGTTAAAAATTGTTCTGCAACTCACTTTGCATGACGTAAGAGAGTTAGAAGGTAAAAATGTTTAACTAAGTCAAAGTTTTGCCATTTAATCAGTCATTTACTTCTTTAAGCCTGTATATTTTACAGTGTGCAGCAATAAACCGGATATCCAGGTGAAATGTTACCATTCAGATCCCTACAGAGCAGGCAATGACCGAAATGTACACAACAGGCCCGGTGAGTGCAGACAGACTACACAGTCGGCATACCTGACTTTCCAAAACTGCTGTCCGCAGATGGAGATTTTCTCATCTTAGTTGAGTCTATAAGGTCAATGCACAACGCATTTAACAAGACAGTACAGTCATGGAGGAGGGAGGACAGGACGGAGAGACGGAACGGAGAGACGGAGAGATTGACAGCTGGTCAGAGGAGAAATTCGAACACAATCTGAACTTTAGCAGGAAATACAACTTGGAAAAAAAAAACGAGAAAAGAGAAAGTTTTACACACATAATCTAAGCATAGTTATATGGTAGCTCTCCCCAAAGCAATAAATTATGTACAAAAAAGGTAAGTTATGATAAAAACAAAGTTCTGGTTTTGTGGTACCTTTGGTGGGACCTCTGCGGGACCCCATGGCCTGCTGCTCCTCCGACAGGTTTAGCCTGCGAACGACATCAGCCAGAGCTGATTTTAGGAGCTGGATCTCATCCTCCTGCATCTGGACCCTCTGCTCCAGGGAGGCGATGCGGTCCGTCACCTCCATGCTGCTGGTAGCTGATGCACTGTCATCTGAGGAGACATGGGGGGAGCTCAGATCAGAACAGAGGGTAAATTGTCAACTTCATCAAAAAATGACAAATTTAACAGGTAAAGATTGTTTTATGGACATAACAATCAAAACCACCCAGGAGGTTAATCGCAGCTGTCAGTCAGTTTCTAATGTTTTCTGGTTTCTCATCAAGCTGAACAGATTATTATCGTGTCTCCAGCTGACACACAGATGGAGGCCAAACACGGGCCACTAGGGTCCACTTTATTCATGAAAACACGCGCACACATGCATGTGCTGGGTCTGCTCCATTAACCCTTTGAAGTCACGGTGGGTTGATAAAATATTCATGTAAATCACTGCTCTGTTTTTCCCTGTAGATTTGTAAAAACTGTGATGTTTTATTCATGAGGCTGGGTGATTAGACCAACCAAAACCCTGGGTCTCCACTCCCAGTCTGACTTAGCCCCCCTGCCGTCTGACAAGCTTACGGAAAAGGCTCTTGACCTGCATAAATAACATCGTCAATCAGCTGTAGAAGTTGTTGATTTCAGATGCTCTACTGAAAGCAAAGAGGTCTAATGAGGTCCCAAGCCTCCATGACTCAAACAGGATTCGATAGAGTATTATAACCCGACCACACATATTCATTCAAATATTTTTTTTGTAAAGTTTTCTTTTTGATAAGTAAAAAGAAGCTTGTTTCTCTACAGAGGACCTCCCTAATTTCAATTCTGTCCACTAAATATGTACCTGATGTTACCTTCCTCATAAAACGTGTTATTTTATATTTCTTATTAAATAATAAAGTGACATTTTGTTTTATGTCCTTTAATAAAATGCTAAATAATGTTGGGTTAATACCTTAACCCATAATCCAAACACAGAAGACACCAATGATGTGACACTGCACAGAATAGAACACCCAAAACATGATTAGCCTTCATTTTCTACTCACCCCCATGCTGAACAACACTCTGGAGTACTTTTTTGATATCTCAAATGCATCTGGAATTCTGGGAGGCTTCTTGCTGTCTGCTGACATTCAAATAATGGAGGTCTATGGTGCCCGAGGCAGAAAGGTCCAAAAAATTTCACAAAAAACGTGTCAATATTCCTCCATACTGCTCGTCCAATGTATTCCAAGTGTCCTGAGTGGGTAGCATCCAGAATTTACTCGAAACAAAGTAATTTAGAATGTTTTTAGAGCATAAACAGTAGTGTATAGGATTTCCTAAAAGCGCGTTCACGACGCTACGGAAACCGCGGCAGACCAAACCAGATGAAAGTGCGCATTCAGCGTCTGCTCTGCCGATAATGCAAGCGTAGAAGAAGAAATGTGCTGTTTACCTGTGCAAAGAAAGAAACAACGAAAGAAAAATGTCTGAGGACTTCAGTGTTGAGGAAGAACATGAGTTCTTTGCTGAGCCGAATGCGCACTTTCATCTGGTTTGGTCTGCCGCGGTTTCCGTATCGTCGTGAACTCCCAGGCGTGCGCTTTTAGGAAATCCTATACACTACTGTTTATGTTCTAAAAACATTCTAAATGACTTCGTTTCGAGTAAATTATGGACGCTACCCACTCAGGACACTTGGATTACATTGGACGAGCAGTATGGAGGAATATTGACACGTTTTTTGTGGACTTTTATGGACCTTGCTGCCTCGGGCACCATAGACCTCCATTATTTGAATGTCAGCAGACAGCAAGAAGCCTCCCAGATATCCAGATGCATTTGAGATATCAAAAAAGTACTCCAGAGTGTTGTTCAGCATGGGGGTGAGTAGAAAATGAAGGCTAATCATGTTTTGGGTGTACTATTCCTTTAAGGTAAAAAATATTTTCACATGACATATTTTCATATGTTTCTTGTCTGGATCTCTTCTACATTTTTACTCGGTTTTCATCCCATCTTTGACGTGCTGGACCCTGGATTCAATCAACTGCAGCAGAATCCTCTTCATTGCAGAGTTTTGGGAAACTCATTTTAAATGGAACCAAGATAGTTTTTTACTCTGAAAATCTCTACATGGTCATTGCTGCTGCTACCTGCTGAAGAAAAGACGAATGTGCAACATGAATAAGAACATTTAAGGAGTCAAGACCTCTGTCTCTCCTCACTCTTCCTGCAGCTAATGCTAAATTAAATCTTCAGAGGTGGCTGCTTGGTCGGTTAACATGTTACCAACTAGTCAGATTATTTAGTCCTGTATAGACATCAATATGAGGGTTAGATTAGATCCAAATTTAAGTTCAGCTAACAGATGTAGCACTTTACCAAACTAAAGCTCATCAGTTATAAGTAGCTTTCTGAATGGGTAACACATCCAGATTTGTTTAAAACGTTTGTAGCTGCACCTCTGAAATTTAAGAAAAAATGCATTATGTGAATTGGTTTCACTTTTCTACTTAGTCTCACCAATTTTAAAGTGTTGGTCTAGTTTGATTGATTGATTTATTGTCTTTATTGATCTCACAGTGGAGAAATTTACATGTTTCATCAGCTCAAATAGTCAAAGAAGAAGAATGTTTTTTTTTTTTATAGTAGGAGCATTATACAGGGTTATTGCACATGGTGTTTGAATGGGTATTTATATGGTTGGATATTTAGATTTAAATAAATAGTTATTTCACTGGGTTTCAAATATAGAGAAAAATGTTATTGCACAAGGTATCAAATATTGCACATTATACATTGCACAAGTTATTGCTGTTGTACTGTCGTATTGTAGAGTTTGGTGGCAGCAGGGATGAATGACCTCTGGTAGTGCTCCTTTTTACAAACGGGGTAAAATCTTTCACTAAATGAGCTGCTCAGCTTCTCTACAGTCTGATGCACAGTGTGGAATGTGTTGTACATGATGGATGTAAGCTTGGACAGAACCATCCTCTCAGCCACTTTCTCCACTGAGTCCAGAGTGCAGCCTAGGACAGAAGCGCTCTTCTCACTAGTTTGTTCAGTTTCTTTCTGTCCCGCTCTGCGCTGCCGGAGGCCCAGCAGACAACAACTAGTTTCGGAAACAGCTTGTTTACAAGTTAATTTGAGAGATCTCTTACTTTTCTCTAAATGGACTGTTCAAAATATTGTTTTTGCAGGAGAATCAGATCAGCCACCTACTGCCACTTAGTAAATCGGTACCAGTTCAATAAAGACAGCTTTAAACGACCCATTGGTCGGAGTTACTCTTGTAGTTTAGCTGTGGGACAGCATTGTACAGAATTTCATCATCTTTTACTGTCGGAAAGAAGACAGTTGGTTTATCGCTCGTTATGGAAAATCACAAAATCAAAAAAAAAATATCAATAAAATTACCAATTATTTATATAATTATACATAAACAGCTACAATTGTAGTTAAGCCTTTTTTGGGTAGGACTACGGTACCAATCAGCAATCAGAAAAGACTTTCACCTCCAGATCAAGCTCAGCACACACACTCATGGGATGGAAAGTGTTATCTGAAGAAGGTTTGGTTGTTTGGAAGCTTAGTGAAGCCTCCTGCCTCGCTGGTCTGACCGATTCGTGTCCTAATCGGTCTGAATATCAAAAAACAAAGCAAGAAGTAGAGCTGATTTAAATCTGCTGATTCACCATCGGACTTAAAAGAACAATAACGAATCCACTCACAGATTTCAAATCAATCAGAACATTTTTGATGATGAAAAATACCAGCGCCACTAAATATATAGAAAAAAAACATGAACAACATTTCGTCTAACTGCAAATATCTCAGTGAGGTGATCCTTGCTCATATATGGAGGCGAATGTCTTTCAGGATGTGAATTCCCTCAGATAAAGCTTTGCTTGTCTTTTGAGAATCTGTTGTGAAAATGGACACAATGACAGTAACGCTGCAGCACAATGACTGGGTGTTACAGCTCTGTGCTAACATCCTCTGTCTGTCACCCCGTTTCCTGCCAACAGAGTCAGAGAAGGTAAATAAATGCATGTTCCTCCAGAGAAATGTGGGCCACACCAACTCTGGGGATTCGACTGAATTTCTTCTCTTACTAATAAAACCCTCACATACTTTCTGTCCAGAGATTCAGATTACTGAGATGTCAATCCTTATTTAACAACATATCCATCACACTGTGGAGTATCAGACACTATTGTGCTCATTCTGTGGGCGAATGGATCTCTGCCCACTTACAATCTCCAGTGGGGTCTTCACACCTGTCAGCCATGAGCTGAAATCATCTCTGTCAGTCTTCCTCAGCTTCCTACCAACTTATTTTTTTCTGTCCTCATTTCATTACTGGACCAAAATGTGTCGGGGTCACAAATCTGAGACGGTTCCCTGGCTTCACCCTAATGCAGCTGGGGGTGATGCTGCCCTATTAACTCCGCCTGGAAGATGATGGGATTCAGGCAGAAAGCTGCAAGCTTGACTGCATGTCTATCACTGCAGCTGATTTTCCTGCTCAAAAGGAACAGAACCTGCAGCAGCTCCACCCAGGTCAGAAAACAGACTGTTGATGGTCACTACAAAGATCATCCCACTTATTACAAAAGTTTTTGATACATGCAGAAATTTAGAAAAGCTATGAGGCAAAACTTACATTTTTAGAACCATTAAAAAAAGTTTATATGGAAAAAACAAACATTGAGTTACCAGAAAAGAAAAAGTTTTCAAATGACGACTTAATTTATTAGAGGTAAAAAGACATCCAATAGCAATTTGATCATAAAACATAAATCAAAAGTTTCTGATCCCTGCCAAACATTTTATAGGAAATCACTTAAATAGAAGCCATGTGAAATCATGAAAAAGCAAAAAAAAAAAAAAAAAAAAAAGCAAAAAAAAAAAAAAAAATGGGCAGTAATCCCTATTCACAGAAATCCTCTGAGGAGCTCTAAACTTTTTAATCATTATATGCAGAACCTCTTCAGGAATTTAGACAGAACATGTGGAGGTCATTCCAAAAATCTTTGACTCAAGCTGAACACAATGTTTTGGGCATTCTCGTGAACAGATGTTTTTTTTTTATTTATTTTTTTTAAACATCTGCCAATAAC